AATCCAAGATAAATATCCGTGTGAATGAGGTGAGAGTTGAGGATCCGCGCGGCTGGCGACATGCTGCGAAAAAGGGGAACCCTGTGTCGGAGGTGGAGCAACCGGATTAAGGGGTGTGAATAAACACGATTCACAACAGATTGTTCCCCGTATTAGATAAACCCTTGTTTTACTATATATACATAGTACTGATGATAGCTTCGTTGCTTTTAGCACTGCCCATTCATGTTACACGGACCAATCAGGTAACACCACGAAGACATTTCAAATGGTACACCAGCTCAGCACCTCACACATCATGTTGCACCGTCACATGTCTTGACTGGGGATCCACAAGTCTTTTTTGGAACCTGCCAGGAAAAATTTCACCTTCATTTTCGAAATAAGTTTTTTTGCACTCCTAAACAATGTTAATTTTCCACAATTTGGCTTCCAAGAAGAGATTAAGTCTAGGTCAAATTTTACGGAAGCAGGGTTTTTTAATTCTAGTCTAAGGTCATGGCAGCTTGGGTGGAATTTTGATTTTACTGGGAAGAACTATTTTTGTAATGCACTTTGAAATAGTTCAGTCGATAAGACCTGCAAAAGCAAGTGTACTTTTGGAACTAATTAACCTGGAGTTTGTCGAGGTGAGAAAGTACATTTTTGCCAGGGGAATAACGAAGATGCACATGACGAGTTAACGAAAATTGCGAAGGCCCCAGGTAAGACATCTTGTTTTTTCACGAATATTATTTCGTGTGGCTTTTCTTACATTGTAACTGAGTTATGCGTGATGTCATCTGCGTGCACTGTGCTTTCGAACGTGTTTGTTGTTCTACTGTGGTTATTAATCGGTGTTTAATTATTCAGACTTATCTGCACTTTAATCGAATAAATTTTCTCAAAAAACACAAAGGCAACGAAAATGAGCATTGGAAGCAAAATTGTCAGTTCTTCCATTTATCATGTTATTTTTTGATTTATCCGTTGTTTAAATTCTTGTTCCTGCTGGGCGCCACTAACAATTCAATTACCGGACAAGAAAATGGAGGGCAAACTAGATGTGGCGTGTTTTCGTTTACTTGATTTTTAAGACACATTGAATGCTGCTGAATGCTCCGAGTCATCATAAATTCTTTGGTGATTCAGAGCAATTTTTTCAGCTAGATCAAGAGTTCAATCAAACTACTGTAACAATGGACTAATGTAAATAGTGTAATGCCCACGTAGTGAGACAATTGAGATAAACAATGATTTTTGAACCATGTTCTCTGCGTCACCTTCAAGCAGTAATCCAGTACACAACCTTGGAAGTTATCTTACTTTGACGTAAGTCGATTTTGGCTCATTACCCAGAATAAGGTAGCTACGTTTGTGCAGAAAAATATCGTTTACGGCTGTGTTAATCTTAGCTGTGTCAGAGGGGGTCAGCCTAGCCTTTAAAGCGACAATGGGTTTCAGGTTATTCTTGGAGTTACTCAGACACCGTTCACACTAACCACCAGTGCTTGCACAGTTCCCCGACAACTGCCAAGCTCGAACGGCGACCTCATCTTCAAAACTCGGCTCAGCCAAAAGCCTCAACGAACTGCACGCCAAAAACTCTTTGTCATTTGTAACCACTAAAACATCTTGCACTTTAGAACTCCTGAATATTCTGACAGCAGAAAAGTTGGCAGAAGGACAATGCGAAAGGCAGGACGCAACCACTAAATCATTTCTTAGAGCCCAAATTAATGTCCAAAAATCAAGACCAGGCAATTGAATTGGAGTCGAATTTTTGAAGTTAGAACCCATAACACGGGCCAGACGGTGATTAATAGGTTTATAAATTATTTGGTTATGCTCCAAGCACGTATAATTTCATGATTGAAGCTCCAGTCTCCAGAGGACAGAAGTGTATACGGCACATATCGAGTGATAATATAATTCATGAACATAAAGTGCCATTTAAATTTCTTGTGTGTTTTATCTCGTAGTTAAAATATTCTATTTCAGTCACACTACAAAGAAAGCATATAAACTCAGTTGTTATTGTCACTCTTGATCTGAATTCAAATTTTGGTCAGATTCTTTGTCACGCAATCACCCTCTCATTGAGGCGCAAAAAATCCAAAAAATACCATCCGAAGAGCCCAATTTAATAACATTATCTTGCACTCAGAATTGGTTTTTAAAAATAAGAGACTTTGGGATTAATGGAGAAATTAATATAAGAATTCCTTGATAGCCAATTTATTTACCCTGAGGCCATCGATTCATCCAATTCCAAATAAGTTAACTACTCGATTCACAAAGTTGGACACAGCAAAAAAGGTTGGACGAAATTCTTTCAGCAGAAAGAATTTGCCATGAGCTACAGGCGAAAACCAGAGCATATCCAAGGTAGCAATGATGAGTCCGTTCGCACACTCACAGTGCAACATTTGCCGTTCTATTTCCGAAGAACACTTTGTTTTACTATACTGGTTTGTTGACCACTATTTAATATGGCCGATGGTGTTAGGTGACTGCATTTTGTATATATTTACTGCTTACTCAAATTATTGTCGCATTATTTATCGCTTAGGATAACCACAACATAAATTAATTTTACTATTTTGACTTCGATTTCTATTAAGCTACACAAAGACGTATCGCCTCGTGTTTTTCAGTGTTACAGGTTTATGCGCGCAGATAGCACGTGTATAGTCATTCCAAAATCAACTAAATTGAGATTGAATAAAGCGAACAACCTTCATGGTAGTTGAGTAAAATTCGAAAATTTAGTTAATGCAAGATCGCTATCTGCCAAATCTCTCATTAAATTTAAAAACCGGTCACGAGTAATTTGGGGACGTCTCATGCGAGAACACATGAAAGCCAATGAGTTGGTACAAATCACTCTTATACACTTCCTGAAATAAAATGGGCAAACATATTTGCTTTGAATTTCAGTGAACTTTACCCGGTACTTTCACGATTCACAAGATTAGGAAATGGTCGGATAAGAATGTGGCTCTACACAATTAATAAACTGTAGGTTACTGGAATGACAGTTTTTAAAGTTTGTTTGAATTAATTTAACTGCGTGATTAGTTACTATTTAAAAATTTGGTATATCACGTCAATGACACGTAAATTATTTAACATATTGTAAAACTGTTGAAAAATTACCTTTATTTTCCTTGTAAGATTGCATCTAAAAAATCTAAATTTAGGAGAACTAGTGCTAATAAATAATCACTAAGGCATAGCTATGACTCTTAAAGTGGAACAGATAAAATAAAAGGGGTATAACCCCGGGTGACATGTTGTTTTTGCGAAAAGATGAATTGCTAATGATAAGAACAAAGTTGAGGTGGTACGAATAACTTTATTGGATACAGAGACGACTACATTCTGGTCAGCATCGTACGGTAAACCAGGGCCTTTATATAGCCACGGCCTGGTCGTACCGTTCTCCTGTTGGTTCGTTCCTGGGCGCTGCAAACGAGATGGAAAACTCGCATGTGGATTGGCGCTCAGTCCCCAACGTGTCATTTGATGCCCATGTGACGCGACGTAGCCGGTCACATGACGCCGCTATGTGGCCTTGCAGTTCACCCTTGACCAATGACTGAGCACCAACATTGCGGCTATCTGCCATACCATTACAGTGGTTTTGAATATTGGTCGAACTTATTTTTTGTGCTTGGTACATCAAAGTCAATTCCCAAAATGCACATTTTATTTCACAATGATGCATTAAATGATGATTTTGAATCAATGAGCCATGAAAATGTAATTTGTACTTAGCATCTATAAAAAGCAAAATAACAGATTATAACTGCTTCGTACACCCAAATTGTTAATTTTTAGTCTTCTGGTACCATAAAAAACAGACCAGAAAGCACACACAATTGGGTTTGCACTGAATCGACAGCGGTCTCTTTGTTTTCATTTGGAACAGTGCAAATTATCCTGGATAGTGTGTACTTACACCGAATGCAAGCAGAAGAGAAATTCTGGAAGTTTAACTTGGCATTTTGAAAATATGATTTCCTGTTATTTCAGTGAGATACTAATGAATGTATTCGTTTGTTCAGGTAGGATTTTCGATCGTTATAATTTGATTATACCTGAAATTTAGCTACATCGAAAGCAATGAAATGAATGAAATAAAATAGCAATATCATAAAAAAATTCATTAAAAAATTGTTAAGGTATTAAAATAATTGAAAAATTAAAATCATAAGTAGCTCTTGAATAATTTGTTCTTCCTTAAACATCCAGCGCTAGTTGTAAAATATTCTGGCTGTTTTCGACACGATTTTGGGCATAAAGTAACTTGGTGTGTGTATGCTGTTTTGATTATTTACTTTTTAAGTTAAATGTTAAATAACAAAATTTTTTGAATTATGCTAATAGGCTGTGATTGTATTTTTTTTTAATAGTTTATCAGTATAAATAGTTATGCCAATATACTGGTTTTTTAATCTTTTGATTAGCATTTTTAGCTTAATAACTTGTACTTATGGTATAGATCTTAAGGTAAAACTAAGTATCTGGTGTCTCATAGATGACATATTACATATTTGAACTGTTAATTTCAGGAAAATAATTTGCCGTATTGTTAATTTTTTTTAATTATCAGGTAATCTAGTTTAGCGTCATTGAGTCTATTTCACAGTTTCATGATAGGTTTCGGATTAGTGGACATAATATGGAGTTTAAGTCGAATCTCTATTTGTAAAAGTCTATGTGGGTGTTCTTACTAACGACCTGTTTTCGAATGCGCAAGTTGCTTCTGTGAACGCTGTGGGGGTTTGTAAAATCAGCATCACCCCTATCATTAGTTATTAAGCATTATTTAGGGTAATTTGTTGACCCTTTTTACTCTTTAATATTGTACTCATAGGTTACATATCTCTCTGTTTTCATAACTGCCTCAAATCCGATATATTTCTTAAAATTGTTATACATTTTTGGTCAAGCTAGCAATTTTGTTCGTCATTCGAGTCCTATCAATGCGCTTAATTTTACTTTTAGTTCAAAATATGGTAAATCACACAACCGCCATAGCTGTGGCCATCGTGTATTCACTAGTCTTGTGCGGCGTGGTACACTACCTTGTGAATGCAGAACAGCCGAAAGCCTATATGGATGAGATATTTCATGAGGAACAAACACTCACTTATCTCGGTGGCCACTGGTACTACTGGAATCCCAAGATAACCACTCCACCGGGTCTGTATGTAATCACGACTCTGATCTGGCAGGTTCTTTCTCTACCCCCATCAGTAGTGTATTTTCGCTTCCTTAACTGTGTCATTGCTGGTGTTAACCTTCTTCTCCTTGCTGAACTCACTCAGAGCACCCTTGCTGCTCTTGCGATATCCACTTTGCCTGTATTATCATTTACAGCGCTCTTGTTTTACACCGATCAGCTATCACTTTGTGCGCTTCTGGTCACGCTTTTGGCTCAGCGTTCTTCCAAGCCGTGGTTGGCATTCCTATCTGGTGGTTTCGCGTGTTTTGTGCGCCAGACAAACATCATCTGGTTAGGATTCATGATTGGTGAAAGAGCAGTGAGCCGGTTAGCTCCAACGGAGGCAGGCCGAAGAGATCCCCTTGCTTGGTGTTGCTACCTTCTAAGACACCCTCGGTTACTTTTTAATGCTTTGTTCCGAGCTGCATTCTGTGATGCACCTCACTACACTGCATTGTGTTTTATGTTCGTGACCTTTGTGGTCCTCTTCAATGATGGCGACATTGTCCTCGGTGATCGTAGCGCTCACCGGCCAGTGCTTCATATACCCCAGCTATTTTACTTTTTCGTGTTCTGCGCACTGAGCACGCCGTGCTCGTTCCTTCGCTACCTGTCGACACTTCGAATCCCGCAGCGCCTACCTACTTTATGTATCCACTTGATTTTGCTATTGATTGCACTGGCTGTGCGTTACTTCACATTTGAACATTCCTACTTACTGGCTGACAACCGTCACTACACGTTCTACATGTGGTCCCGTCTCTTTCGTCGATATCATTCGTTCCGCTACCTGGTCGTCCCATTCTACCTTTTGACCGGAAGCTATGTGTGCTGGGGTTTCGGAGTGAGACGCCGATTGGACGAGTTTTTAATCACACTAGGCTTTCTTATCTGCGCGTCCGCAGCACTGGTTCCCGCGGAACTGATTGAGCCGCGCTACTTCGTTACCCCATACGTTGTCTGGAGATTAGTTAACATCCCAGAAGACAATCGGAAGCACCACCTAGTCGACATTCTTCTCAATATTTTAATCAATGTCATCACTGTCTATGTGTTTATTTTCCTCCCATTTCGTTGGTTATCGCAGCCGTTGACTTGGCAGCGTTTCATGTGGTGACCGGCATTTGGGGTTTAACAGGCTTTCCCTTATTTTCTATTTTTTTTACTCACCACGGGTGCCCCTTTTGTACTCTTGATAATATCAGAAGTGTTATGAGGTTTTTAAAACTGACTTCTCTCTGGGATCAATGTCTTCTTTTTGATGCTGTAGGTATCAACCACGAGCCAATCAAATTTATGCATTTGCTTTCTCAAGCCTTCACTGTAAATGCCGATTAAATATTAAGGTATTAGTGTTAAAGGTTTTTTCTCCCTAAGACAAAGAGGTTGATCCGTTCTGAGGTGCGTTGTCGGTCGATATTAGCAGTAACATTAAACAACAATTTGAGACAGTAGTTAATGCAATTGTCAAGTTCATTTGCGAATTGGAGTGCCTGCTGGTTTTCCAGACTCCACTAAATGCGTACGAATGTCAGTCAATACACAAACATCGACAAGTGAGAGGTAAAAAAGTTGCTACTGATCAAACGCAAGATCACCACTCGTAGTCACATTTCACGTAAGTCTTAATTCTACTCGATTTGCATTTGGGCTGCGGCAAATCGATTCTATATGCTTTGGTTTAACGTTAGCCGATCGGTTATAGTCCTCCTCCATAAACATGCTTATACGTAGGTATTTAAATGTCGATTGTGATGTAACGACCACCTTAGAAGCGGCGACGGGTATTTTAAGTGCTGAAAGCGAGCAAAATGAGTCGCAAATTTTGATTTTGTTTCGAATACACATGCGTCTTAGGTTTTCCGGATAGTATGCATGAAATACTCGACAATAAGAACAGGGCTGCAGCTTGCGTACGGAGATGTCTAAACGTGCTTAATAGCTCTCTAAAACTCTAGGACAAATTGGCAGGTATAATATAGGGTTCTCGCTGGCACGCTAATTAGTGTCGTGGAGAGATGGTTCATCTCACCGCATGAGGGCCATCGTTGGAATAATTTGTGCTCTAGGTCATTGTTCTTTATTTGGTTGAGCGTCTGCGTGCGCTTGTCGTGTGGTGCTGTGTAAACAACACTCCATAGCTGATTCTTCGAAAGTGCTTTTATCGCGCTGATTTCCCACATCCGAGGATCTTGGACTTACCTAATTGTTTCGCAATTCGGTACATTTAAAAAAAAACAAAATTATCCAAACGTAACAACAATTCTATCCAAGAGCAAACTAGCAGTAGGAGAGTTTTGCCCAAACGTCCCCTTTCTAGAGTTTTCGTGATGTGTACATGAAGCAGTAGATGCCATCCTTCTGAAAGCTTTCTTGACGCGTATGATTAGACCAATCAAGTGACCCAAACGCTGACTTGGCTCGTTTTTTTATTGGCTGAGGTAGAGTGTTTGAGTTTCCAAAGAGGGCCCCACACACTGATAGAAGGTTGGCTTCAACTGTAGGCCGTCATGAGTTCAACATAGAACAAGCCGTCCCAGCGCGATTCGAAGATGTATCCAGTCGTTTGCTGACAACGAGTCCATTTCATAAAATGCACACGTTCCATTTTTTCCACCCACTCGATTGTAGTAAATGCATTTTTTATGGGATTAGTCGTAAAATGACGGTAAACGTTTCCGTCAAAGAAGCATCAGCAGATCCAACTTAAATGATGCCGAATCGTGTAAGTAGCGTGAACCCTCCGACCTCTACTTTCTATTGGCTAGACACATTCCACATTTTTGTCAAACAAAAGTTAACTCAATGATGGGTTGTCGGCAACTTGCATATTTAGCTATCGCGCTTCAAAAGCAGTCGTTTCTGTGAGAAAAGGAAATTAATATAATTTGGTCACCAAAATTTTGGAAAGCGTATCACGTTTTATCTAAACAAATTGTTTCTGAAGCAAGCCCTAGAAGGGATTGAGATGCGGTTCTACCTTCGGTGTTCTTCCGTCTCCGTGCGCCGTATTTCAAACTTGGAAGTGTACTGGATTGGTGCAAAAAAACTCGCCTGGAAGCTCATCGAGCCACGTAGTCTGGGTGTCATGTTCACGCCACCTCTATCCGTAGGTGAATGACTTCGTGAATGCCCGGTATAGATGGCCGTCAGGAACTCCGATACTAAGACAACGGTACAACGACGACCAATCAGAAGTGCGACTTCAATAGCCCAAAAATTTGCCCCCCCCAACCAAAGACTGCAGTTTAGCTGGCATCAGTCACAGCTTCGGTCAGCCGTGGTCGGCGTGCATTTCCCATGCTACACCGACTGGCGTCACAGCGCCTTGTGGGTAATTCCAGTTGGCGACAATTTTCACATTCTCGATGCGGAAAGTCTTGGCCACATAAACAACTAATATTGCTAATGTTCATCCCACTACAGACAGTGTTCTCGAAATGCGTGTCCTTCAAATGCAGATTTCAAAGCGTGGCATTGAATTCGTGCAGTGTTATTAGTGTATTTGCCTAAACCCCGTCGCCCTGTTGGTAGTGCTGGGGCCAATACTTGTTGAGAACACGATCCGATCAATGCATTGAGGTATCGGTCCAAATCGAGGAGAATAGGAACTCGAGTGCTCACTATTTGACCCAGCAACAATTGTTACTGCTGGCGGCGCTAATCACGCTACTTTTTCAGACATGCTTAGATTTAATAAGACTCAGGAGCTGTAACTTTGTTGGTCACATGCTCACTGAGCAACCAAGTCAATATTACCAAGAGCAACCTTGCAATGGACGGGAGTGGACCAATAGTAGAGGAAGGCTAATGGCTCGTACAAGGGTCTAGGGTGTGATTAGCTCCATTACCAACGCATCATATCAATTTAATGCAGACCAACCATTAATTGATATATTTCCAAATGGCTTATCAGTCAACTGCAGTACAATAACCTGCTACCATCGTCGAAAATTTTGCCACGATAGCTGCTCATGGCAGCACGCATGTCTTTGATAACAATCTCCCCATGACTTTTTGATTTTATGAAAGTGCCCATTGACAAAGTCAGCAATTATCCAGATTGACTTTCGTTTACGCGGGTCTCCCAACCATACCCCTCCTTTTGATCACACCACCTTTCCATTTTGACCCACCTTAATTGGTGTCATACGCAATTGGGCGCATTTAGGCTTGTTACTTTTGGCCTTCAGCTGAGACAGTTAAACTTCTCTGCACAAGGTTGTTGTGAATCGAGCTGATTCACGTTCACTAACCCAGTTGTTGCATTCTCCGATACGCTGACCCCAACTTCACACCGATCCTAACGTGAACGGGAAATCGTTTGCGCATGCACCCCTGTGTATATGTGTGTGCCTCCCCTACGCTGTTTGTACCATTCATAAGGCCGTTCAGTCATTTGCATTTTGACAGGTTCAACCCAACTGAATTGATCGACAACCCCTTTGAGCCAGACACCATTTTATGAGCAGTGTCGCAAATGACAAAACAAGCAAACGGTCGTGCCTCTGCCGTCTCTGATCTGCCTTATGTCTTCGCGCGTATCAGAGTGGCTCAAACGGGCCAATTCAACTCCGCGGCCCCAGCGTGGTACAAGACCACACGCCAGGGCCTGCAACAAGGTCATATCATTGTCTTGACATTCGAAGGGTGATGTTTTCGTTAGACAAGATTTGTATATCGGTTGCCTGAACGGTTGAGTTCGGTCACGGCAAAATCGCAACAATGTTAAGGACGCACAGTACCCAAAGAAGGATAACAAGACGGATCAGGAAGGCGCTTCAACTGCCCACGGGAGCACTAGGACCGCTGGCGTAGCTCGTGTTCATTTAAATTGTCAAAACGCTTCGATGATGTTTCGCAATAGAAGAATGGCGGTAGAGATTCCAGGGAAATGCCAGATGATAAGATTACTCACTTTAAAAGGTGAAGTACAACGGGAACAGACCTAGAGGAAGCAGCAACCATTTTCAAGAAGGCACCACTTGGGGACATTCGAAGCCGGCACCACTAAAACGCTATCTTGACGCTCCTGTGTGCATTCTTTGGCCACGTCCTCACCACGGTGTAGACCTTTTTGCTACCAACAGTTTTCGGGGGCGATCAATCAGCAGACGGCCTTTTGCCGATAAAATCGCGAGTGTTTGTTGGTGTTGCGCTCAACAGCCACCTTATCGCAGGCTTACCTCAACCTTGAACCGATTCCATAAAGATCAGTAATACTTCAGTTGAAATTTACAAGGGGTACACAAACGACTTACACGTGTTTTGGGCTAACCCAATTGGAGTCTCCAACATCGCCCTAATTTTCACAGCTAAACACACGTCTGCAGGTACGACTTGTCTTCCCTACCTACACACACCACATTTGGGTGTGGGTGGAGAGAGAAGGGGCCAGGTGTGCGACTAGAAAGGGGACATTTACTTGTGAGGTGCGGACGCCACCTTGCAGAATTCCGAGGTCACGTCGAATATCTCCACGCACTGGTCACCGGCTTCGTCGTAGTCTGCCCACTCCTAAAGAGCAGGAACAAAAAGAACCCCTTTAAAAGAGACCGTCAGGCGTTTCTCCTGTCAATTGCGCTAAACGTAATGACACTTGAGTCAGCCCATTCCTCTCCATTCTCAGAAAACTTCAACGAGAAACCAGACTATGAATGTGGTGATACAGATTTTTGAGTAAAAAAAAGATTCTGCGAGGTAGAAATGGCGGCGGTACTACATTCATGAGGTCTGCATAGTCGATATTTCGACGTCAGGCTCTTGAAAGCAAGTTGGACTTACCCCTTGTCCCAGGTCGACATCATCGAAGACAGTGGCGGAGTTTGAACTGGAGACAACTCTCCAACCAACTCGTGGAGAGAAGGTCAGGGGTTCAAGGCCACGGCATTCGAAACGAACAATCGGCCTCATTTTCTCCGATTCTTCCTCATGGTAGGCCTTGACACTCCCCTCGACGATGTCTACGTGCAGTAAGACAAAGAACAAAAGAGCCTAGGTGTTGAAAAAGGAAGAGAAGGTGACGGTGAGGTGTCAGATCAGATCCACCAAAAAGCCAACAAGTCAAATAAGCACAGGGATTATGGATCTCTGGCAACACCGGAAGGACAAGTATAGGCGCGCTGAAGGATGACAGCTTATCAGGGGAATGAAGACGTAGTGGTACAGAAAAACATGACTTCTCAGTGGACGATTCCATAAAATACAAAAACCCATAATACGTTCAGTTTTGGGACCAATTAAATTCGATGCATTTCAGATGTTGAGAACTAAAAAAATGTAACAATGAGCTGAATCTGGTGTAAATCTCTTCTCTACATTACAACAGACTTTAAAAGTGTTTGAGAGTCAAAAAGCGGTCATAAATTACACAGGTTTTGCGTTAAAATCAGGCATCTAAAAACTCAAAAATTATTTTAGTGCAGGTGGACTGAAATGAAGCCAAAAAGATGTCTTGACGTTCCCACGAATTTTGTTGCTGTGTCGTTATTTCTAAGTATATTGATTCGAACATCATCAACGAGAGGTAGGAGGATACAGCAAACGAAACGTCGAATGCCGGAGAGATCTGGATTTCCGCAGTGGATTTTCCTGTGCGCCTATCCACCAATAATACATACCCGAAATGAGAAGCTGGACATCGATATAGATTTGAAAAGTACTAGCTCGTCCCCGTTTCCCAAAAGTAGCCAGACTACGGGAGACCTTTCAGACATGAAACCGGTACAAACGAGACCTCTGCTTCCGACCGCCATTCACCCATCGATGCAAATTCCAAATCCACCACTTCCCGATTTACCCTACCGTTACCTTTCAGGGATAAGCAGATATCCACCTCCTTGTCGGCTTAATGAGGCATACATCATATCGATGACCTACCAACCAGAAGTTACGCCTTCTTTGACGACCGATGACCTCACCAGAGATGTCGTTTGCCGGCTACGTGTGGAGTGATTCTAGCCTTCACTAACCGACTTTAAACAGCACCATATATTCTACCGTCCTTTTACCAAATTTCCAGGGTTTGCCTTGCTTCTTAACAATGCCTACCGCCAAAAGCCGTCGTAAGTCCAGTTTAATTAATAATTTTGTGCTGAATAACAAGCGCCATGGCAGTTCCTCAAACTTCTACATGCTCAAAAGCGCCTGGCATTCACACATTCGCTCCCTTTTTTAACAACCGAGATTCGGCTCAAGTTTCAGGTGTTAAAATGACAAAAACAAGAACACACTGTGACAGTTTACTCGAGATAAATGCGCGAGGGATCAAGCATAAGAGGGACAAAACCTTTGATAGAAACTTACCAGCAGAGTTTTCACGGCCACAAAATTTGCATTTCAATTTTAGGTTGGTTAAACCTCTGGAACCCTTAATTGGTTCCTGCTCTAGTGCGCATACATAGACAACGTTTTCGTGCTCCTCCATGCAGTTAGTACATTTAACCTGAATGAGCGAATGAAGTAAGTTGAGGGGCGACTAACCTTAATGTACCATCGGAAGTCTTCACCAGAAGGCAGCAATTCCCTGACACCTTCCAGTCTTGCACTGAACAACAGATCAAACAGCTGTTAGGAGGAAGACAAAGAAGACGCACGTGAGGTATTGGACTTTGATAAACCCTTGGAAGAGCGTCAGGATAAAAGAATAAATCAATTTGCCAGAGGGGAGCTGCAAGTGTCGACCTAGTCATTTTTGAAATGTCTTTCACGCTTACCTCACTGTATTAAATTTTCGCCAATGCAGGTAATAAGAGACCCATTAAGATCACTAGGAACTGACTAGGCAGTACTTAGGGAAGCGAAATAGGATGTATATGTGGTTGAAAAAGGAACGCGAACATAGCTTAGAACAACAGAAATATCCTTTCATTTGAGACAGCGTACTCACCGGCATTTTTCAAGAGGTTCTCACCTAAGAGAATTAAAAAAAGATAGTTCGAGTGAAGAACAGATTTGAATGAGGTAAAACACGCAGCGAGACAGAACTTCAAAATTATACAGGATGGTCGATGGTCAGAATGGTTTAAGGAAGTGATTGTGTTCTAAGAAAATTATTCTACAGACTACCACACTAAAAAACCTCAAACAAGGTCGTTGGCCAAAATTGCTATTATAATTAAAGTTACGATAGTAACTATTCTAAAATATTTAGATTTACAAAGCAAAATAAGCATTTGGAATTAACGCAAAACGACTTCTGAGAACAACCCATTGTTCGCTAAATAACACTAAAAATTTAACTAAAAATAGGCCTAGCCACCAGACTTTATTCTCCATTATATATCTTAGCAAATACGAAATACATATAATCAAGCAATGTTCACCAAATTGCGTTACTGGAATTCACGCCCAAATGATTTGTACTTGTGTTTTTATTGCAAATGATTTAAACACAAAAATAACATTTCCCTATTAAATGTTACAAACATTACCTTCTGTAATAACTAAGAATGCAACACATTTCATATATAGTAACAAGACATAAAATATTTTTGTCAAAAATTAACAATTCATTACAATGGAAGTCTAAACTTAATGACCCCTAAACATATTCGTTATATTTCCTTCATTTTCGCGAATTTAAATGAGTAATTGTGGATTACATAGAGTAGAGATGTTAAATGCCGATCTTAGTATGGTGTTTATTAATTAAAATGCACGTGAATGATAATTTAATGCATTATATTTGCACACATAACAAGCCCTTTCATCACACACGGTGTACATATTACTATAATTGACATTTTATCAATACGATGATATTTTTGTGCTTTACGAAAATGTGTAAAATTAGGTAAGAGTAAAATTTTGCAAATAAAATTCCTCAAATTCACTAAGTTTAAGCAGTCAAGTAGAAATGAATTGTGTTTTGCTACCGATAAAGTTGTTCTGTACGCGCGACAGGCATTAATTGGTAAACTTCGTTCAAGAAATCACGAACCAAAAGCTATTTCTGACAATCCATATCCAAATTTGTTTCTAATATACTCTATCACATTCATTACGCCTTTGCTACGAAAACATCCTTTGCTCGTTTTTTTAACAATTGACTTATTAAACTATGATAAAAATGCACCCTTATCAAAAATATAGCATAATGCAAATATTTAGAAAAATCGAGCAGCATGATTGGCTTTATTGACGGACCATTTCCACTACTGGCTTCGCAATAAATGTAAGCACATAATAATTTATGCAGACAGTTTAAGCAAACAAAAGCTTTATGAGGTTTCTAAATGCTCCAGAAAAAACTCTGATTTATTTGAATTATCTGTGAAAAGACAATATTTGAATCTTCATTTGAAGATAAAAATTTGATTGACCGTGTGTCCATGTTCGCTTAAATTCCAAGCATGCATTTTCGTTTATTATTTTCCGATTAGTTTGTTAAAATTTTTAATACGTGCTAGCGTTAGCCGTACGTAAGTTGCAAAAGGGTTTTAATCGGGCTTTCATATGATGCAAGATTAATTGGGTTCTTACATGCAATCACGAATTTATTTGACAACAGTCATGGTTCCCATTCAAATGCATTCCGAAATATTTTCAAAAAATTCATGTATTCCTTGCAATATTAAACTATTTGGAACATGGAAATCAACCTGTTGCTAATATCTCACAGGTGTCAAATGGTATCATGATCATAATAGAAAATGACTTTGGATAAATAATTTTCAAATCATTTAAAAATACGTGTCTCATATACATCAAAAACTGTTTTTTCTGTGCTGACTTTTTCCAACAGGGTAGAAATAACTAAAAGAAATCAAGTTAACATCAAATTCTAGAATGGACAGAAAATCCACTTCATTATTATTATGTCCGATTAAAATCCGTTAACATAACTTGGTTAAAACAGGTGAAAGTAGTTGCGTTAAAATTTAATTGATGTCGTAATTGCTTCTATACCTAAGCACGTGCAGTTGATCAGGTTAAATAAAAACCCCTTCATTCATATATTTTTTTAAATGCTAACAAACTATTTTTGTTGATTTTGATATCTAATCGTATTTAACAAAGTTACCTTAAGCATTAAATATAACTTTTTTTGTTTTTTAATGCTTTAAAAGGTACATAAATTAATCCGAATACATTTTTTTAGTTGTCCGAGCTTGTGATATTTTCTGCGTTTTTTCGATTCGTTGTGCTTTCAAAGACCGCCCTAAACCAAGCGGATCTTTCAATGACATTAATTTTGAGATAACGCCTTGACAATTGCCATGGTCTAAATTTCATTTATGAACCACAGTTGTAATGGAGAATGATACATATCCAGATAGTGTTCATAAATGGGACTTTTCTGAACAGAATAAACAAGGAACTGACAATGGATGGCACACTTATGTATGTATTATTTTTATATTATTGTATTTGGCTTTTTTCATTGAATAGGTTTTAATAATTGTACTGTCGTCCTTTTAATATTATTAACCGTTATGTTCATCCATTTTCCATTCGCTGCGCATTTCGTTTTCATTGCTGCTAAAAGATTTCGCCCATTTTTTTCTTTTTCAGAATTTTAATTTTTTAAGTAGTCATCTCGTTATTGTTTTTGCTTTCTTGTGTTTTAAACCTTTGAAGTTAGTTAAATAAATGGCAGTGTTCAGTCCATAAATCTGCACCTTGCTTTGCGAATTTCAGACTTTTGTTCAGAAATACATTCTCTTAGTTTGGAACAACGTTGTATAGAATCTTTGTGTTTATTTTTTCCTTTTACTAATTTTTTTACCAACATGAATTTTTAGTAATTCCAGCTAAATTGGGCCGGTGGTGGCATGAAAAACAGGAAATAATATTTTGTACACAAACGTAAGTGCTTGAAATCATGGGAACCTACGTTTTTGCCACTCTTTCGTTTAAGCCTGTTCTACAGCATGTTAGGCCAATAAGCGGTCGATTGTTACTTCACTCCAGTACGCATCTAAACATTCTTCTTTGTTGTTAGCCCTTTAGTAATTTCATGGCATTCTTGGTATTATTTACATCCCAACTATCCAATCCTTTTATCCGTTAATTATGTAGCAATCCTAAAACGCATTTAACGTTGACTTCAAAAGCGAATTTCTATATCATCGCTTTCAACTAGAACAAATTTTAATTAACACTTTTTTTCATAATGTCTTAATTAACCTCCCCACTGCCACTTTCCAACTTCGCCATAGTTTTTGGACGAAACACCTTAATGATTTCCTAAAATTATCAGTCAAAAAAAATTCTTAAATAAAAATTATATTTTAGCATGAAACCAGAACTTTTTTAAGTGTCAGTAGTCATTGTTGGTTTTGACTAAATACAAAGGGAACTGTCAGTGGAGACTAATCAGAAGAAACATGCTTACAATCTTGATAATCTATCTTTCTTTCTTCCCCATACTTGGCCTATCTTCACTACTCAATGTGTACTCTAACTAATACTACACACAACTATTAATTACGGCCCACTAGAATCATTTATGGGTGGTTTATAGTTGTCTTTTTGTTCGTGAATATGGGACTTTGGGTTGCTTCATAGTAGATCACACGTCTAACAGGACGCCACATTAGTTGCAAAAATTTACAGGTTAGCGAAATCTAGCACTCTTTCCCGATTTGATGCCTTTAATCTGGGAAATTTTAAGAACCATCTGCCCACACAATTTTTAACTGTTTTAAGTCTAATTTGCGGCGTAGGAATTTTGTTGATTCTGATAGTTTTTGTTTTATTGAAAATAATTAGGAGATTCTGGACCGGCGATAAAACATTTTTGTTATTACAGGCAGTTGGTGTTGTTTAATCTGAAAGATTTTTACCGGCAATATAATTTTCCTCCAAACAGATGATTGTCAATATTATCTAAACCGTACAGCAGATTTTATGTTACGCTATTTCCTTAGAATAAATACTGAGCCAATGTGAAAGAAAACCAACCAATTTGACAAACTATAATCCCAAATCTGAAAAGGCTAATAACCTACAGAGCCTTCTAAACTATTTGTAAAGATTCCAGTGTCAACTAATCGAAGGAACACACATACCAGGATTGGCTTAAAATCCTTTCATGGTGAACCATTTTTCTTAAATTTGCCTAACATTAGGCTGGTCCGATCGAAGTCAACATTCAATTTAACCGCGAGCTTAATCCGCAGGAGATGTTGCAGAGAGTCTTTATTGTATCACTCATGACGACTAATAATCACACAAGAATTTGGTCTTGCTAGGCAGCTCTACATTTAAATTTCCCGTGTGTTTCAGTGATTTACGTTTCAAATGCAATGAAATTGCCCGTTTTAGGATTCCCTTTACCACACGTGAAATTGAATCTGAAATTGCAACAGTAAATTTTATTCGTAAAATGCCGTTGGATAAGAAATATATTGTGCATTTTGTGTTTCGTCTAAGATGCCAAACAAAAAATTGGAGAGGATTAGAAAACAAGTCAACTCAATGTCTCATTAGAGCTTGATCAGCAAATTTTGCCTTCTCCTCCATACAGTCTCGATCTTGTACCGTCAGACTTACTACTAGTTTTAAAGTTTTTTTGCAACTCGTTGATGCTAAAACCTTCATTAATTGTAATGGACAGAAATTACTTCTGTGCCAGGGTTTTCCTGAAAGGAACCATAAACGTGACAAACGATCATTGAACAGATAATAAAGTCTACCGAAACTACTTTCTTACTACTCAAACTCAGTCAGGAATAGCAATTCTGATTACAACAAAATGAACGTAGTTCTATTTTCCTTTTTCATCCACACACTAAAAACGAATGTCGGATTGCGCAGTTTTTTACTCTGGCACTAGTCTTTGGGGCGTACTTCGTCTGTGCTTGACTTCTCCTAATGAAAAATATTTGCAGTTTGCTTCGTTGACAGGTTCCTAAGACCACCGAATATTTAGTTGATTTCCACAAGGCTGACACCACGTTTGCAACTTCAAAGGAAATTAGAGTCTGTTTGTCCCGAATTCATCCTCGCTGTACTCACAGTACCATCAATTGCAAGATATTCCTTGGAGTGAAGGTTTGATCGCCATAACTTGATAAAAACGTCGTCGTCACTAGTGAAGTTCGATGCGTTACCGTTGGGGTACCATCCAAAAGCTTGGCCGCGCATAGAAATGTAATGACGAGGTAAGGCTGCGTCTGTTTGGTCACTTGACGTCTCGAAACTGGCCACACCTCGTACCCCTTCGATGCTGGACTAGTCAGGACGGATGAGTGGAACACTTGCCATGCTAATTCCGTCCTCATGAAAGTTACATGTTGTAAAGCACAACTAGGGTCTGACGTCGTGGTGAGTGGTGTTAACGGAGAGGAAGCCTAATCGTTACAATGCGCTTGTTTCTAAAAATAACTGACTCTTGGCAAAGGAGGAATTTAATCGCAGCATCTTAGTGCAGACAACACACTTGGCATCTTTGGCTAAGTCACTAGCCGATAGGATACTTCTTCGCTCTCCCGACAAGACCTATTTCAAGTCCAAGGGAAGGTGTTTTACCGCCACCATACTCTAAATTCCTCTTTCCGATTTATAATTATTTTTAGGCGATTCCCCCGTTGCTTCGAGTTAGAGACCCTCCAGACAACGGTTCCTAATTCATAAAGCAAATAGGCTGATAGATTACTTTAGGTAGAGCTGATAACAGGAATATCACCCGCATATTTTAGCTGTGCATGTTAAATGCAAGCAACTCAAACTTCAATCGATTTACTCCCCATCCGGTGATCAGTTAGCCCCACGTATCTAGTGAGCAGTTCATTTAAATTATGACGCTGCTTCTCAAACATAACCAACGCTCCAGGCTTTCTGTCAACTGCACAGTTCATTTTCCCCATTCCAGCAAAAAATCCAAATATTGTCGTACACCACGTGTTTGAAATCCCGCGTATTTTCCAACATAGAGGAGTGTAGCTACATCAAATTTGTCACCGGCCATTATGAAGTGCTTGTTGTAAATCGTGTTTATTCACACCCCTTAATCCGGTCGATCCACCCCCGACACAGGGCTCCCCTTGTCGCTGCATGTCGCCAGCAACGCGGATCCTCAACTCCACCCTCATTCACATTGGTATTTATCTTGGATTACCCTCATACATGGGTCTCGACGTTAGCGCATGTTTGACTTACATATCCGAGGCATAAATACACACGCGCAAACCCCACACACGACACAACAACACCAACGCGTTTGAGCTCTGAAGTTAACGTTTGGTGTCCACGTCCTCTCCGATCATTTTCTTCATCGCGGGTATCAGGGAAACGTGATCGGGCCAGGGTTAATTCCGCGGCCCCGGCGTGGTTCAAGACTACATGCTAGGGCCCACAACATACTTATGCACATACCTCGGCTGATGCTGTTTTGCCTGTTTGCATGACGGAAAACAACGCCCAGTTGTCAACTTCAGAGCCGGTCACTTAACCGTAGGCTTCATGATTGGAATGCATTATGCTAAACGCCATCTCATGGCGCAGTTGTGCTCTAGACTTTGGGCTGGCATGTGCTGCAGCTTTTTCGACTGCTTTTTTCGGTCAAACGTGTGATCGTTTACACGACGTTGTCAGGCTGCACTAACCCACGCACAAATTTGATCCATTTGCGTGTGTGGTGTGTACTCAGCTGACACTAATGCATACTTTAGTTTTTTTTTCGCAATAACATTGAAACATTACACAAAGCACGCAAGCCACTGGACACAACTCCTGTCAGTCATCTGCTGATCGTGAGGTAAATCACTCTCGTTTAGCGAGCTTTTTAAATGCATAAAAATGAGTACCAGTGGTGAATATAGATAGCTCATTCCGCTTGATATGTAGTTGTTCTATCAATTCCGGTATGACTTTTAATTTCGAATCGTCTTTATTGGCCAACACGAAGCACGATTAAAACTCTTCTCACTGACAAAATCGCCTTGAACAGAGATTACCGAGTGGAGCATTAATTGAAATCATTTGAGCTGAGGGTAGGCACAATGCGTCGTCGTTGCATGAGTGAAAGCATTGAGGTAAGCATAATTCGTTAACTGTCCTTTTCGAAACGTCTGACGTTCTTGAAAATTGTCTCACTGACTGCTCCAATTCATGTCCATTTTGGGTGAATTAGTAATGACGGAGAAACATTTTTATTTTTTTTGGAAATATTACGAACTGCAAGCACACTCGATTTCATTTTCGATAGAATTTTGTGGTTGTCGATGACCAAAGCAGGTGCTCCTAGGTTTCATACTTGACTGTTGATAACGTACAATTCTGTCGCATTAGTTCCTAGTACAATTTGACAGATTATGACCCTAGGTACGTAGGTTTAGCATCTGCCAAAACTCCTTTTACTCAAGAAGAAAACACTTAGGTTGATTTGTGGTGAACTGACTTCCTTTGATTCTGCGATGGAGATTAAGATTGGTCTTGAGTCAAGGAGTTCCGTGCATAATTTTCATGTGACCCACCCTAATTTAGGTCCAAGGTGTTCAGAAATCCCATAATAGCCATTTGGTCCTAAAATCATTTCGGATTTGTCGCTTCATTCATTCATTCTGCTCGATGTTGTCTGAAAACTAGCGCTCAAATTAAATATTTTGTGTGGTGGTTTCGTAGCAAGCATTGGTTCCCAACGAGAGTTCACTAAGGCGTTCTTTCACTGAATAAATGTCGATTCCAAAGTCCATTAAAACTTGATCAAACACACAACTAACTATTGTGCATTTACAAACGATACTTGCAATCTAGCTGCCGTTTTTACTTTATGATTAGTTATTTGCACTGATTGGTGCGAGATACGTCATGGGATCGTCGTCAATTCACTGTCGTGTTTAGGATTTCGTATCGCCAGGACCATATCTTTCAAGATTTTTTATTGCCATCCAATTTTGCCTACACTAACTTTTGTATTCATATCGGCCGCTGCCTTCCTATTGGCCAATTCATCCTTGAGTTGACTTTCATTCTGACTTCCACTCAAGGCTCCCCATGCCCATGATGAGCTTAACAGTTGGGTTCAGCTATTCGCCGACCCTTGTAGTATGAATCCCGGCATGCTTATCGGCATGTGGACACCAGTTAGAGGTTAACCTGCTCATATAAAACTTTGCACATCATTTTAAGTATTTGTAAATGTGATTATCGAGTGTGAGTTGTAGAACCAGATTGTGTTTAAGCGTTATCAGGTGTCTGCTCACGCCAAAAGCTCACAGCAGAGCCTCAAAGCCTCTTCTCTTGTGACCTCCGATAGGTGACTGAATTGCAGTTGATGAAGGGCCAACCGCCAGCGCCCAATACCTCGCCCTCTGCTGCCTTTGCCAGCGGTCGTTTTGCTAACCTCCTGCGTTCCTCCCTTCGACTCTCCGCACCCAATAAAAAGTCGACAAGAACTTTGGAGGTCGCACAGCAGGCTTCGACGGCTCCCGTGTCTCCACGTCACGGCAGCGCCGAGACAACAGGGTGTCGAACGTCAGCCCCACGCAAGGACTCGTCACCGTCAGTCGCGGCAATCGCCAGTCCGAGAACTTTTGCCCGACGGTCCGCTTCCATGGCAAGCACGTCGAGCTACGGACGCCCAGTTTGTCGCATCTGTCACGATCCCAACTCTACACCAAGAGCCACTGACGACATCGGCGACTCTGATGTGGGTGATCGTCCACTGGGGCGACTCATAGCGCCTTGTTTGTGCGACGGAAGCCTTAAGTACGTCCACGAGACCTGCATTCAGCAGTGGATTGCCATTAGCCACTCAAAGCGCTGCGAACTGTGTCGTTTTGAGTACCACCTCAAAAGCTACAGCAAACCACTTCGTGAGGTGAGTTTCGCGTGGTGCGCAATTTGCTTGCAACGAATTACGCTGTTCAATTAGTCAGCCACACGAATTATTCTCAACGAATCAAGTGAGAAAACACGAATTTCACGTTGTCTTCGGTTACCGTTAGGTAGGTATTCGACTACGGTGTCTTTTAATCGATGTATCGTTTTTCCGTTGACGAAGCCGTCTTTGACTTTGTTGGGGTCAACTTAAAATCATTCAGACATTTTCATCTCTTTTGCGCTCAACGAAATCGCTTAACATTGGATATCCTTGTTGTCTTCATGGCTCGGCAACGACAATATTTTTACAGCGGTCGCATTTTGCATGCTTTACTCAATCAAGATTTTTGTAAAAACGAAAGCATTATAACGCAGGCTGTATTTGCTTCATGTCAATTAAAACAAAAAATGTTAAGCCTGAATCGTCGGCCTTCTCTTTACCCAACCGTGTGATTCAGCGCAGTGACGTCATCGGGATTGGGCGTAACCACACACATACTCTTTGTTTTGATTAGGAGCGACATGACATGATAACCGTCAAATGTGTGTGCGTTTGTGACATGTGCCCTGGGGACATCGACACTGCCACCACCCTGTTCCTTGTAGTCAGTATTCTGATTTCAGTTCATTTGTTCGACCAGTCCCTGCCTCCTGGTTACGCGCGCACTTACAAAAGGGGTCTATCGTTCCGGTTAAAAGTGCCCTAAATTTGGCTAACCCTTGTGTGTGCCGCGTGCTCGGCAAAGATGTTTTCGTCCTCGAAAACCCAGCGACAAAGTTGTTGTGAAGTGCACACTTTGTTCTTCAAACGCATGCAACATTTAGCCATGGACAGCCAAAATAGCCTCCCACCAGTGACTCCTTTGTACTACTCCACATTTGTTTACATCCTTATGCGGGTGGTCTCGGTGTAGTTGCAGCGTTTATCAATTTCTCGGTGAGGGAATTCGGAAAGAAATTTACCGTAACGACGATGGAGGCTATTTCGTTTTGCTGATGGCTGAAGTGTACTTTTTAATACCCGAAAATTGAGGTAATTAGTGCGAAACAGTAGATTCTCGGTGCAGGGTTGATTCCACGACGCTTGATTGGCTTGATGCAGGCCTAACTAGCACTGTAAATGCAAGAGGACATGCTACATCACTCGTTTAATCTTCAACACACCGAACCTCATACTATAACCAGGAAATTTGAATTAGTAGATTTGTCTCTGCGCCTGGAATTTTTGACCTTCTGGTGTTTGAATACCGCGATGATGAACCGCTTTGATGGAATGGGGCTAAAAACTCCTGCTTATTGCCGGTCGAACCAGTTCAAGACATTGCCAACTTGAATGTGTTGAAGGCATTTACGTCTAAATAGGTCGATTTCTCATGACTGCTTTGGTTCCCGCACACGTACTTGACCCAAGGCATGTGCTTCCGTCTCCCGTGACGTGCACTTTGTCCTCACGATGTCCTTTTGCCTGTTTCAGTGGACATGCTGCCCGTTGAAGTCGACGGAACTGCGACGCGTGCTCTGCTTCCTTCTAATCTACGTAGTGATGCAGGCCTGTGTGATTTGGGCTCTCTACGCCATCATCGGTCACATCCTCGAGAATCCCAAGTCGCGCGAACGCAACTGGCAGTTTTGGGTAAAGATCCTTGTGATTATGGTGGGAATTGTTAGCGTGCTTATCTTCACCTACGTGCAGGTGCGCTACCTTTTCGACCTCATTCAGCGCTGGTACGCGCAGAACAAAATCTCTGTTGTCCAGGAGCCCTCCGTGGAAGCGCTTGCCAAGATTCGCGTTGAACAGCGCTCAAGCATCCCAAAGAACGAGTTCAGCGCCGCGGCAGGTGCCGCTGCTGGGGGCGGTGCCAACACCGTGACTGCGATGCCGTGATGCCTCCCTCAAGTGCTCTTCCCTCCGAATATCCATCCTCGTTTTATAACCCCCCACCCCTGATGCATTCGTGCGGCTTTTGTGTACATGCGCGAGAACAGTCAATGTACCTTTGCAAATCGCAGGGAGAACTGTCACTTTTAACTATTGAATTGTTTTTGGGGTGATACAGGTGTTCCAATTGATGACTGGTTTCACATCTCGAGTGGGGTTTGAGTATACAACGACACAAACTAATGTTTTTTTCAAGAAAACAAGACTCTGCAATTGTTGATAACATGTCATAAATGCCCGAGTTCTTCAACCATACACGCAGACCACCAGGCATTTGACTCCTACCTGTAAAGATCTCGTCCAAAAATCAACCTAAGGGAGGGTTTTCGTCAGTCAAAGCTGAGGGGTGGCAGTTGCGTTGTTTAAGAACTTAAACCGAGATTGTATGATTCGGGTACTTGCTCGAATTTTGGCAAGTGTCCTGTTCTGCGCTTTTCAGACGTTCGCGCAGTGCATAAGGTTAATAAGTAATTCAGTTGCAGCCGTGATTTCCCACCTCGTGACCCTTTCTAGTCCAAGTGGACTCAACTGCGCATTCACGCGCTGGACGTGGCGCGAAGTTGGGCGCATTGGGACCAGCTAAAGATTGGGGCGGTCAAAGGTGTCAGTAGTATCAAAATAAAATTTGTGTGATCCAGCTCCTGCTCAAAAGCCTTTTGTGACAGTCTTTGATGTTTTTGAATTCCACGTCATTATAGTAGCGCAGGGCCTGAAGCGATGCAACCATGGAGGTCGTAGGTTAAAGAATATGGAGGAAGTTATTGTAAGTTGTCTTGTTAATTGATTGGTCTTCTACTAACTGCTTGGTAGACAATGGGATAGAAGAACTGCAGTGACATCACGGAACGTTCGTCAACATGTACGTGTTATCCTTCACAAGAAATATTGTAACAACAAACAGCGTAAACAGGAAACATGAGCTACGTATATGTAAAACGCGCACGCTAAAGTCCAGTTCAAATAGTGTTCCATCGAAACCATTATAGTAAAACAAGAGGTTAATCGGAAATTACATGGCATATTTTATATCCCATCCAAGAGTCTAGGAAGAGAAGTTCGTGTCATGCGTGTGCAAATTGATTGTTTTGTTTGATTGATTTGTTATTACTGGTTCTCCACAGCGTACTTCGTGTGTCACATAGCGATTACAATATGGGTCAGATTTCATGCACCGTACAGATTAAAGCAAAATGGAAAGTAATAACTGTCACAGAATGTCGTTCAGCAAGGCCCACGGCTTCTCCGAAGGTTCATTTTGTTTACAACAGCGTATTTTGCAAACATATCATCTACTTTGAGATCCGTGGGCAAGAAAAGTCAAATTGTTTTGCCTTTTTGGAAGGTATTTTTTGTGTTTAGTCTCCTTTCATGAGCTTTCAAGGGTAGAACTGCAAACGTAATTGACTAATGGCATTTGAACACACCTACAAACGCATTATTCAACACGGCGGACTCAAGTTCAGGCCACTCCCATAACTCTCCAAATGCCTGTAGCGGGTTTCCTCTGTGGAAGCTGATTCGTGGTACTCAGCGGAGGGCTCGATAAAGTGTATTTCTCCCGATCAACTTACCCGCCGTCTTTGTGTGATGAATCCCTGGTGGACAGAACTAGGGATTTCTCTGTGGCGTTGAATTGACTTGCTTTGCGTGACTGGCAATAACATCTATTGTCATAACAGCCGAGGTCATTAGCATATCCACACGGATCTGCTTTGATGGTCATGTAACCACACAACGTGTCTCGGGGTTCTTCCCAGCTTATTTCCATCAAACCTTCAACGGTCGTTTGCATATTGGCTTTCGGCCTAACTTACCGACGTTTCAATGTCATCGTAGTTTAATCTAGGGAATCTAATTGAAAGTGTGGCTTCGTTATTTTCTAATGCAAGGCGACAATGGCTAAATCTTGGTCTTATTCCTTCAATAATAGCTAGTAAATGTTGAGAAAACACTCCTATCGACCATTTGAGTTTGGATGACGATTTTGTGTTAGCGGACATCAAAGCTGACTGATGGAGAACTATTCAAGTCTTAGACATTACCGTCTACAGTGATGCGGTTTCGGATTTGGGCGGAAAAAGTGCACGTAGAAGCAATGTTGGTTCTATTAACTAAAATGTACCTTTTTGGCGACTGACTTCGTGTGTAACAATGGCGGCCACGTTTATGAGTTTTGTCACCTTATGATAAGGAATAGAAGTCAAAAGGACCGCGTGCGTACGCCATCATTAGTCTGACGGGTTTTTAGAGGTTACATCATCATCCGCAATTCATTAAAACACACGCACCTTAAGTTTAGTAAGGAAATGAGGCATCAAAATAAGAAACTGAATATGGTTTCATTGCCTCGCTTTTGAATAACTCTGATTTAAACAACAGATAAAACAGAGATACGGTCTTTCCACCATTTATTATATTTTGTTTCCGGTCTGTTTAGCTCAAATGTTTATTGACCATGCTTCGTGAGGTTGGGATTTCAAAAGTTGACCTAGGGAATTCGGAATATCAGTGCCCTAGATTGCTTAGACAGGTTTTTGACGAGGAAAAATGTTAGCCTCCACTTTATATGGGATGGTTCATTAAAAAAAGAAGATTGGTAAACTGCTTAAGAAAATTTAGCCTTTCATAAGTATTTTCACTAGATTTCATGGTTGTAACCAGTGTGAATGTAAAACTTGATCAGCTTCATCATTTGTCTAGAAAAGACTTTAACCCTTCTGCAATCTTGTTCTAGGTACTCCTCCAGTTTCACTCGAAATTTCTTTTGATTACTGACTGTGCCTTGAATTTTCACACTGTCATGAGCTTTAGAATAGTAACGAGGTCACTAACCCGTTTCAGTGTGACTTCACTTTGCGAGGAACACTTTCCAAATGTGGCAGAAATCAGAACTGATTTCTCGGTATTCAATCCAGTGGCGTCCGGGGCAACGCCGAGGCGCTACTATGTGCTGGCTCCTTTTTTTAAATCTCGCTTTCCCCCACTATTTACCTTGTGATTGGGGGAGTGCTGTGTGTGTTTCTCGGTAAATAGTTGTTCCAAAAGTACGAAATATTGAATATCGCGATGAAAAATCGCCCTCTTACTGATTCCACTCGCTCCAGTAGAGTGGCTCGGAGACATTTTATAGTCAACGAGAATCGGGCTGTTTTTGCCGAGGGAGCGGGGCACATATTCTTTGTCAAATATAAGAGTAACAACTTCAGTCCCAACCACTTTTGATGAGGTTCAATTTTGAGAAAAAAACAATTGGCGTGAAACCACCCAATTGGAGGCGACTGAACAAAGCATTCGTGACCAGAAAACCGTCTGACACCGAGTGATTATTAAGCAATCCAAAGCCCGATCACACACACAATACGGCCCAAGGAAGTCATCCTGATTTTGCGTGTTTTCCAAGCAGTCTCGACTTTGGTCTGTCAGATTTTGACCTCTTCCGCTTGCCTTCAATCGAACCATGCGTCAAGACATTTGACAGCGTTAACCACAAGATGTAGGAAATAATGTAGGAGAACGCACGGCTGGTAGTCATAAAAATGATTTGTTGAATTGTTTTAATTAGTGAGCCTTGGTCAGGCTGTCGGGGCTGAGTTGAACGTACATTCATGTTTTTCCACTCGCCCATGCCAAATGTTTACCGACCACCCTGAGGCATGACCTATTGTTGTCAAAGCATCCGCGTGTTTCAAATTTAATGCTTTCCAACCTCGTTAGCATGGCCAGGGATATATCAACTACCAGGTCACAAAATCGATTGCAAAGTAATTGCTGAGCGGCGTCGACCCCTTCATTAACCAACAAGCATCTGGTTTTAGTGCCCCACCCTGACAAAAGGGAGTCACGCCTACCTCTCTCTCGCATCTGCACTGTAGATGGTGGCAATTTCTGCATATACACCAAACTCCGTGGTACCATGTGTAAAAGCCAGAATCCTGCCAAGTCTTGTTGGATACTGCATTTCTGCTTAAATTTCTCTAATCAGGACAATTTGAAATAGAGGTGGACGCATTCAGGTGCAAAATGCACAGAAATAAATTTGGTTCCACATTTTTTGCGACATAAGCTTATTTGTGCTGAGAATTCGCGACTAATCAGCTTACCATACAATAAAATTTTTATAGCTCAGAATTATCCCTTTGTTTTAGTGCAACTACAGAGACTATACGTTGCCACCTAATGATGTTATTGTTAAGTAGTTTGAAACTTTCGCCGTTTTGCTCCGAAGGACACATAATGATGAAAAACAACGATCGCTTAAGCTCAGTAGATGCCAGACTGCCGTGGTGTGGAAATGCTGAGTTCCATTCGCCGGTCTCTATTTCCACTCTTCCAACATTTCCTAACGCTCGGATCGTGGAACGGCAAACGAACATTCTAATTGTTAAACGCAAAATGTATATTCTTTACATTGGTGATAGCCTCATGTACTGATAAAAGTAGAAAGCTGTATTCCACTGCCACCATAAATCTGATTCGTTAATTTAGCAACGAATCCCATTAAATTCCCCATAACAATGGTTGGAAACTTAGCAACGTTGCATTTTATTATAACAGTTGCGTGTTGGATTTAGTAATTCGTGCGAATATCGTAGAGTAAAACTAGCAAACTCTTTCTTTAAAACACTTCTAGCAAACATTCATAAGAGTGAGTGTTTGTTAGACCAATGACCAGGCAGAGCAGTTGCTTACCGCAACATTCAACGATTTAACTTACTCGTGAATATTTTTCCCTAATTTTCCAGTATTATTCTTTTAATGAACCACCGCTAACAAAGTCGAGGCGAACATGTTCGTCCATGTAAACCTTGAATTAGCAAAGTTGGCTAGCATGATCCAAAAGACACTAGGTTTACTTGGATTACCTTGAATTCGCCTAACATGTTTCAACAAACTTCGTGCTAACACAATCCAGAAATAAATTCAGAGAAATTGTATCATTACTTTAATTGTGGCTTAAATGTACTTTTCTTTTAAAGTTAGTGGTTTGATTGAGTTTAACTCCTGATTTGCAGCCCTAATCTGCCTAATAAATTTAAAGCGTATTGTGTTTAAATGAACTCAGACATAAAGTGTGAACAAACGCAGAAAATGAAATTAGATTTAAATATCAGAAGAAGTGATTTAATTGACTTGATTCTTTGATTCAGGAATGCTTAAACATACCTTTTAAGGTAAAATGCTGACTTACGTAAATAATAAGCATGCGGAGGTTTTAGGAGAGCCATTATTTAACGGTTAAGAATGTGTTTATGTCTCAACACGTGGTCGAGGCTTAAGTATACAAGGCTCCGGTAAGCCTAATTTTTTTAAATACGAGTACGTATTTTAACGTGTGTTTAATAATTTTTAAATCAGCTTAAATTTAGACCAGTTTACGAAGAAAGCAATGCAGTTAAAGATATAGAAAAAAATCACATTTTGTAATTTCAGGTAGATATAGCTGCTCAATGTCATAACTTATTTGGACTGTTGTGCACACCATCGGAACAACCTATCCTTTGCATAAAAAAATAAATTTTGATTGCGACACTAATTTTCCTGCACTTGCAATGATCCTATAATACATTTTTTTTTGCTGCAGCCTTTCAGAAATCTCCAAAATATGATTTTCATAGTAATTTTGAAGCTGTTAGTTAGAATCATTTTTTAACCTTATAAAATTTGTTTAGTAAGGCGATTATAAGGATTAAGAGTTGAGTATGCGCCAACTGTGCTAGAGAGCCAGGCATATGCATTTGGTAAATAAATTCAAATCAGAAATTCTAAATATCTACCTAGCAAAATTTGCTGTAAAAAGGATGCATTAAAGGTATTATGCGCATCTTGAAGCAATCGAACCATTTTTCATTAACTGATGCTCACGAGTCGTTGTTCAAAGTCATTAAAGGGTTTTAAGTTAACAGAGAAAAAATTAGGTCATCTTTAAACAGAGTTACTTCCACTGGGAATTCAGCAGTTAGCGTAAAATTGCCGGAGTACGAAAATTTGGGAGTTATTTAAGTAATTCCTCTATAAAAATGCGACACAATATTGACTAGGAATTCATTTTCCTCTGTTTCATATTCTACCAAATCATACGATTATGTACTTGACCACTTGTCCCATGATATTTAATTTTTTTCTAATGAAGAAAATCATTAGGGAAATGATTCGTGATATCATCTAAATCGACTTAGAGATTTTAATTTGATGATTTTTATCTAATCTACATATATTTCACCTCAGCTTCCATTAACTTTCTGACATTAACATTAGCTAAACGCATAAAAATTTAAATACAAGTTGTGCTGTCCAATTTAGAATTATACACATTTTTAACTAGTAATTTTTTTCTCAAAATTGACTACGCTAATCAGTATACGAAGGAATTAGCCAGGTTAACCTGACAGTATTAACCTCTTTGCATACGGTCAAGGTCGCTCCAGCAGCACCGGGTTTCTGCATATTCAGTTGTTTCGATCACTTAGAAGGTTAACCAATTTTAGCAAGCCACGCCTCTCTATGCTTCTCGTCGGCCTGACGGGTGGTATTGCAACTGGAAAGTCAACGATATCAGATATAATTAGGGAGAATGGGTATCCTGTTATCGACGCTGATGCGATTTCGAGAAACGGTAAGACTATTATAAATGTGTAATGGTCATTTAGTTGTTGACTATGATAGAGCAGTCCAACGTAGTATCTTAAAATCCTTTGGATCCGCAGTGTTTAATGAGGATGGAACGCGAGTGGAAAGAGACAAATTGGGCGAGATCATTTTTGCAGATCCTCAGAAAAAGAAGATTCTAAATGCGATTGTTCACCCAGTTGTTATCAGACGCATTGCCGCCCAAATACTCTGGAATGTCATGTCAGGCCATGTTTGCGTCGTTTTGGATATACCCCTACTCTTTGAAACTGGCTCGATAATTTGGTTAATGTCCGAAGTTGTTGTTGTCAAGTGGTAAGTATAGTGCAATTTCTGAGTTATCCTTGTTACTTTTCTCATCTCTTAACATTTTTGCTCTGTGTTTGCCATCTCTAATTTGTACATTTTCAATGATTTAACCGTAAATTTATTTCATGTCTCAGTTCTTTTGGTCCTTTTTCGTATTTTGTATTGTTCTTTTTCTCCCTCAGCAGCACACTCATTATTACCCGCGGTTCGCTTAGGCAATACAAAGATATTAACCACCCAGGTCACCAAAACCGTTGTGCGGTGTCCAATAAAGAACGTCATTTGCTTTTATCTCAGCCCCGTATACTAGGTTTTACTTATGGTTCTAGTTCCGCTGAAACTCAGTTATCACGTCTGCTAATGCGAAATCCCGACTTGTCGAGAGAGGCGGCGCTCAGACGTATACACGCCCAGATGCCAATGGAAACCAAAGTCTCCGGTGCCACCTTCGTAATTGACAACGAAGCTGATGGCGATTTTGAGGGTCTGCGGGCACAAGTGGACGCGTTTTTGGTACGGTTGCAGGCAAAAGCCTCCCGGCGTGTACGCTGCGTCGGCATCTCCTGTGCGTTTCTGGCAGTTGGACTTGCGGTGGCTGTCCGACAACTGCTATTTTAATATTTTATTTTGTATTATTATCCACCGAAAAAGCTAATTATTTACAAGATCAATCCACTCTAGTATTTGATACAGTATTATATAACAACTTTGTTATTTATTGTGATTGTTTTCTTGCTAATTATTTTATATTCAGTAATATAAGTATTAGTAACGGTTGTATTACCAGATATAGTAGGGGTGGTGATAGTAGTAGCAGTAGTAGTGCCTGCCGTAATCATGGTGGCGTCAAAGTAATACTAGTATCAGTGGTAGTCGTATTGGTAGTTTTTTTCAGAATCGGTACTAACATCAGAAGTCGTATGGGCAGTAGCGATATCAATAGTGGTGGTAACGGTAGCATGATGGTATTAATCGTAGTAACTATTAATGGTAGCTGCAATGGCATTAATTCTGGTAATAACAGTAGTAGCAGCAGTATTAGTAACGAATTCTGTTGCAGCACTAGTTGCAATTAAAGCTCATTCCTACCCGAAATTCATTGATACAATGAGGCTAAGTAGTATGCTAGGAGACCATTTATTCAACCACCATAATCACGTCAATGTGAACACAATAATAGATCACGTAACCAGTCTTGTCTGTTGCTTGCCACAGTCTGTTGGAGACGAAGGAAACTAAATTTTTGGATCAGGAAGTTTAATTTTTTTGACTGACGCACAGTGAAAAATGGCGGTATGTGGTTGTTTAAGAAATTCGCTCTTTAATTGCACATTTTCAATTACACTGGGATACGAGATGTACAAGGGAAGTGATGCCCGATACGGGTAGACGGCAAAGTAAATCGGTGACGCACCAACTCTAACTGTACCAACACGTAGGCCTGATTATGGTTAGGAGGGAGTTGCTTGTTCTAATATGATACCATCCATGATGTTTCTTCCATCCGAGAGGTATTCGTATACGAAAACACAAAACGCCCTGTTGCCCGTAGATTTTAAGCGAACATTTTATGCATTATCCTGCACGAAAGAGAGCGTAACATCAGTTCAACCTATGGATTGTTGATTCATCCGCTGTCCTTAATGAATGAACCCTTATTCTATGTCAACGATATTCTGAACACGCTGTGTCGGTGCCGAACATTTGTTAATGGCTGAAAATGCAATAAAAATTGATTTCCGAAATATGAGGGTTCGGCGTTTTCGCTATTTTAAATCATTGTGACTAACTTGTACACTGTATATATACTGTGGTTGAGCGTATTCGTGACATATAACCAAAAGTTTTCGAGACTTTCAGATAATTTTACCCAAATCATGCAATTTTCCTATATGCCGACAGTAGAAATTTTTGATTTTACGTTAGTCTGTTGAGTACGAGGCCTCGCACACTAAGCCTTTTCAGATTCCTTCATTCTCCATTTGTAACTTATTCCAGCTGTTTCATACAAGGACATATTTTGGTTGCATTTAGTCTTGTGAACGAACTCGATTCTGCCTAGTCATGTCCTCAAAGCAGATAAAGTTTAAAAAAGTGCCTAATTTTTTAATAGCAAAGTATTTTATCGTTCGATATTTGACGGTGTGTTCCAGCTGCCCGTCGCAATAATGTAGCGCATATTTCAAATGAACACTTAAAGTACACATTCTCCTGGCTTTTTTCCCACTATCTGCTTTCGACTTACTGTTTGTTCGTTGCATGTGGTAGAAAAAAAAACAAAGTAATTGCTGCTTGTAGTGAGCTATTTGTTCCCAGAGCTTAAACTTCTTGTTGATTGTGCATGTTCAATATTACTGTTACTGGTTCATCAATTCGTGTCTTCTGATTTACAAGCAGGAAATGTACTCTTAATTCACAGGAAAACTCAAATTTCAGTTTGAGTATTTCCGAAACGGTACTATAAACCTTAAATCCTATTCAAAAAATACCGAATCTACTCTGTGGATATAGAATATATAATTAAATAAACATAGAAAGTTTTCTTTCATACTGGAGAACGCGATACCTTTTGACAATCTTAAATGCGATTTTGTGACTAGATTCTCCGGTTTTTTCCACCTTAGAAAATGTTAGAATACCAGCGGTTGGTGATCCGCTTTTCAAAAACGTACTATTTGATGGCAAATGTTACAATTAGCGTGTTGCGCCAAGATTAGAGATGTGGAGAAGAGTAAGAAGAATCAACACAAAATTTCTCATCCTTTAAATGGTGTGATTAATCTTGATGCTATTGAAGACTGGGATACCACATATGTGTTAGAAGAGAAAGCTAACTGGTATAATAGGTTAGGTCAATTTTTATGGGTTAGTGGAAATTAAAGAGCTAATTTCTACATGTACCTAAAATTATGAGGCTATAAACCTGAGATTACCTCATTATTGAGTTAATACATTATTTTCGAATTGAGCAAATAATTTGAAGCGGACAGGGCCAGTCTTCTGATTAAGCTTGCAATTTTTGTGAAATTGAATTATAGTAGTTCAATGTCATTGGACATTCCTGTAAACAATGGACAAAAGCTATTATGGGACCTTTCATTAGATTTGACCGATCAATTTCGCAAAAAATTGCGGTGCCTTTGTGAACCGCTTCATCATATAAACATGCAACTGAACCTAAGTCACCTGTGTATAACTCTAATAGTTGCAATACAAATAAGAGCTTGACCTTTGACAGTAATTCGAAGCTATTAAAAAATGCCTGTCATAGGATTTGAGGGCATAAAATGTGGATAATTTCTTAAAAGAATTGTTGCTGCCTGTAAAAACCTTTTAACAAAACTAACAAACACTTTTCCTAAAAGGCGAAATATTGCTTACATTTAGCAAAACTGTCTTGATCATTTATATGTTTAAATAAATCAACCTAGGAACCGCCTGCCTAAACACTTTGTTTCATCAAATCGGTCCAATGAGTTTGGTGTGTATTGGTCATCTCATAATTGTTATTTTCTTAGAGTGATATTTTTGCTAGGTTTCTTGCATAAAAATTCTTTAAAGTGAAGTAAGGGCTTGTTTTTTGTGCTCTCCTTATAATCACTTCTATTATTGCAGTATTACTATTTTGTCTATATGATATCCGGACATCTATAAACCCTTGTGTGCATTTATTGGTTCATATATTTTATTACTGTCGGATTCTGTTCAATCTGTGAAGCACGATTTTGTGGACCACGTCATTTATTGTTTTCAATATTGGTAGCTGCTTAAACACCGACTCAACATAGAAGCCATACGTTAAATTTAATCTGATATTTACGTTACCGCGGTTTCTCTTTTGTAGACCTAAATTTATCGAATTTAAGTGTTTCTAAGGCTTTCTATTTACACAGCCAGTGTTTTGGAAAATTTAATGATCCTGTTTTCCACAATCGACACTTTACTTGCCCTATGGTTGCAGCGCAATGAGCTTTGTTGCATTATGAAATATGACCCATTGTCACATAAAATAGAGTCTTTGTATTTTATCATTACCATTTTAATTGGTGGAAATTTGAGCGTGATTCTTTACTAGTTTTCAAGTTATAACTGTCTTTAGCAACACCAATGGATCCCACAAGCGTAAGTTTGTCTTTCTTCCTTCCTTTCACAGACCCAAAAGCGTTCGTCTCACGCTTTCGTATGCATTTTATGTGTTCCATCTTCTTTGCCATTTTGCTTAATTCTGCACATTTTCGCTTTTCAAATGCAATAACCTTAACTTAATTTTTGTTGAAGCTAAATCGTTTATTTAGGCCCTGTCATTGATCTTTCTAGAAACAATCTAGCATATTATGTCACTTTAAGGTGCTTAAGTGGAAGATTTCAACAGCAGAAACATGTACCTTATATTTTTTAACGGTTTTTGTTCCGTGGGTTTTCAACTGCATTCTGAGACGCTGTGTGGCTGTTTAAACACTAAGTCTAATGGGCTACATAATTGGTCGCGGCTTTGTGCTAATCACATTTTTTGTAGCACCTTCTCTGATGGTAACTTGCAATATAGGACAAATATTTTTTCCGTTTGGATACTAGCACTCACCGACGTTGTATCGGCTACCATGTCAGATTGCTAGTTTTGTACGAATCAATCGGAAAATGTCATAATTACCACCAATGTAGCACTCCGTCTGTCATTTGTGTTTTGTTTAGCGATTATCGATAGGCTTTTTCAAATCATTTCGTCCCTGATGTTTTGCCTTTCGTCATTTCATGAGTCCTCTCTTACCTCGTAGGCAGTAACTGAACTCACTGAATCAGAATTGTTGGAACTCCGAAAATCTGACGCCTGGCTTCCCTCCGAGGCCACGCGCCGATGCCTCGTGGAGGGGATCCCTGGCCCAGAGACGCTTCCGTGCCTCCAAGCCAGCGACGTTGCCATGGGCGCGGCGCTTGGACCAAACAATGCACAAGACCCAATCAGATCGCTGCTTGCGCGTTGCTACAACTCCGAGTCGAAGGCGGACAACCAGCGACTCGTCATTACGGCTGATATGGTCTCGCAGGATCTAGACGGTCTGATGCAACTGCTCGTATGTGCGATTTAGGTAATGCAAAACACTTTTAAAATATCAACGATTTGCTTTTCCTGGTTCCCAGAAGGAGCATTGGTATCACGCTGCCCTGGTTCTCACCCACCGCCTTCTCACATCCTATGGCCATGGATTCGATAAAGTGGGTCAGACCAGTGCCCGGCTCACGCCTTTAACGGCGCAGGTGCGTTCGTTTTTCGTTCTGCTTAGTCGCCCTTGTTCTGGCCTTCCTACGCCGTTTTTATCGTTCAGCTATGGCTCCTGAGGCTTTCACTTCTCAAGCGAACCCAGCAGTATGCGCTGATGAACCAAGAATTGGAGGCGTTTGGCACGCTTGATTACCCGGACGTCTACTACGAACACGCACCCCACCTCTACCCTGGCCGTAAAGGTCCTGTTCATTTTACCCCCTGCTATTTGTACATCAGTAGTATTTATTTTGAACCACCAGTTGCCATTTCACCCACAGGCTCGATGGTGCCCTTCGCCCTGCGACTTCTCTACGCCGAGGCGCCGCGTTTCATTGAGCGTCAATCTGAGGCTCTGGATCGGCTCTACTTCCTGGCCGCCGTCGTAGCCCGTGTGAGTGTCTCTTTCCCTCCTCAAAAACGTGTCCTTTCAACACGCTGTGGATGTGGAAACGTGTGAATGTCAATGGGGTGTGAACCGCGTGACGAGAAGAGGCAGCGACCCAATTGGAAAATTTTTGAGGCTTGTTCTAGGCGTGCAAATATTCTGCTTTCCAGAATCCTTGGACGGAGTTAGTGGGTACCATATTTTATTCGTGTAAACAGCACCGCGTTTACTGTAAATTGAGGTCAAAAGTCTGGGTAAACAAACCAAGGTTAACTGTATCAAATTTTCGTCGATTCTGCTAGGATTATGCTAAGTTGTGCTACTAGAGGCTAAATCTGGTGTAGAAAACCCGAGCCCTGGTATGAAGAAGACCGGTACAACAGACAAGGCTTTATTGACCAATCACAAGCCGGAACCACACGTCAGGCGCCGTCCGTCCGAGTCCGCCACGCTGACCACTCCGCTCATTATATACTGCACCTCCTTCGTGTCCTTCTCTGGTTGGCTGCTTATCTTCCTCGCATGTCATTGGAACGCAGAGAGACACAGGATTGGCTGAGGCCAGTGTGGTCCAATATGTCTGAGCCCTAAGACGTCGCTACATTGGGTGCTCGAAATGACCACCCAGTAGGCGCACTAGACAGTTTAAACAAAGAGGATGTGGGCATTGAATATTATAGTCCAGGATTACTGGAATAGAGCTGGACACTATGCGATTTGAAGACCATCCAATAAACAATTGACCTTGGAAAGTAAATGAAGGCAGCACAGGTCGTCATTCGAGCGCACTTTTCCTACCTTTCCCTCATGTCCTTATTCACGTGCAGGTTTGTTGCATGTGCAGACAACCGTTCGTTCACCCGCTGGGCACAAAATCAGGCCAGACTCGATATTTAGAGGTCGATAATCGATTTCTTGGTGTGAAATAAAGGCGTTTTACGGTGACTAATGTTCTTCAGTCGGTTGGCTCTTCGATAATCGATTCGAGCAGATAGACTGAGATCTTCGAATTTGTGAGTATCGATCGACACCACGTGTTTGGGCTTGTCACAAAAACGATAAATCAATAAGTACTCACACAAGCACACACTCGCAATAACAGGCGCCTGGACACGATACCGTCACTTGGGTGCAGATGAGGTGTCGACTACGCTAGTAACGCCACCAATATTGATTTTGCGTTTCCTACACAAACCTATCCGAGTCGAGCTTTTCTTTTTACGCGAAGTGTACTTTTCGCTATAGTTAATCAGCAACTTGGAAAACGGCTACACAGAAGACGGCAGCGTTGTCTGTCCAAACGAAAATTACCAAAAAAGTGAGTGAATGTCTGCCTGCTTGTCGTTCTAACCCCGGTGGTGGAAAAAGGCGATTGGCCCTGTTGCTCCCTCTCTCCCTCTAGCCTCTCTGGTTTTGTGGCGGCATCGCGAGTGTCGCATCTACTCGTGTTGCCTCTCCATCTACCTCGTCGCGAATGACTACCCCTCGGCAATTGAGACCGTCTACCGCATGATAAGTCGACTTGAGCCCTTCGGCGAGCATCACTTCCTCTACGGCGTGCTTGGACGAATTTACCTGAAGGTACCGTAGAGTGTCGAGTCAGAAAACCTTAAAATCAATTAGCATTTTCCAGCAGGGAGCTAAATAACGCTTCAAAGTTTGTTCGTTTAAGCAATAACCCTCCCTGGAGTTCGTTTTATGTGTGATGCTGCCTAAGGTTCCGTCGTGTTGACTGTCCACTTTCAGTTTGGTGACCTCGAGTCAGCCGAAAGGATGTTCGAAAAAGCCCTAGAAGGCTCTCCGGCCGACGCACCCTCAACCAGATCGCAGCGATCGATGTACAGGTACGTCGTTTCTGCGTTCACGTGGTCTTGTCTCACGATCTCCTCCCAAGTTTTAATCACACGCCTTTGTCGTTACGCCAGCGCCATGCTCTTGATCGCCGATGGTCGTTTCAACGAGGCGAAGAGGCTCTTTCGTGAAGTCTTCGATTCGGACCCCTCCAACGTCGCTGTGAGTTCATTTTTCTTGCGCGTTTAAGCGGACCTGCCCGTCGTGGAACCACCTCTACGGAACACCCTCAGACTCGTCTAGGTTAGCGCCATGATTGGCATTGGAGCAGAAAACGACACACATCGTTGTCAAAAGCGCAGGCGAACAGCTTCCACCCACCCTGCTGTGGAAGCCAACGTCCTTGGACTTAACTTGTTCGAAATTTTCGTCATTTTTTGTCACCGCAAACCTCGCTGTCGTCTCTCGCCCATGTGCTTAGACACCCCGAAAATGTAAGCCAGAAGTCATGTATTGCGATACAAGTCACCTCAGATAGTTTACTCGCGTTGAGAAACCACTCATGTACGCGCAATCGTGTGATAAGCTTGGCGTCGAGTCATTGACCTCGAATGCCTCTGGTGACCAATAGAAATGCTCAACCAGTTGCGGCAATTCTTACTTGGGTCATTGTACACGTGGACTTGCATTCGTGTGGATAGCATGCTGCAATGTGGCTCAAAGGAGGTGCCAAATTGTCGTCAAAATTGTTTGTGCTGTATCTGACGTCCAGTTAAACTTTGTGCATAGTGAGGAAGTGTTCGTTTATCAACTCTCTAGGTGGGACGTTGGCTGTCTACAGTGATTACTTGTGTGTGTAGTACTGCACAAATCTGCGCCAATCGGAGCTGGGGACGATTGATCAGACATCAGTTGGACACTGGTAGCCGGGTAGGACGGGTAGACATTGAGCGAATATAGTAATTTTCGGTTGGGTTTTGCCTCTTCTGCGTCAAAATACTAATTGCTGCTGACACAACTCTATACCGTCGCTATAGAAATAACTGTGTATTCTACAGAACAACAAACACCACTTAAAAGTGCGAAAATAACAGCTAATGATTTTGTAGACTGGCTTCACATCTATTTACCAGATTCGACACAGGAACGATCGCGCCACATCGGTAAAATAAAATCCTGGGTTGCTAATAAGCGTGTGTGAGAGTGCATGTAGTAATAACATGCTAAATGCTGCACCATCTGATTGGTCAAAAAACAGCCTCAAGTGAATGACTCAGCGGGTTTTAGAAGCCGTTTTCGTCTCGAAATAATCGTGAGGCCTCCCTGTGCTCACCGTTTGTTGCTTATGCGTCAGCTGTGATATTCGTGGTTTCTGATAGCGTTCAGACATCTTAGAGACAGCACTTGTCAAGTCATAATTTGTGTGTGTGTGTGATTGAGCCGGCTCAGACGGTCCCAGTTGCACCGGTGCCGAGTTGTCTGGCGTTTTCTCCGCGTCGTGTAACCCTTGTCAGCCCTCTATGCCATTCACTCATTTTGAAAAACAATCGCGTCGTTACTCGCCGAACAGGTCAAAAGTGCGCGTTTAGACAAACACGGCTAACACGTGTTTGCACGTGTCTTTACATCAGCTAGTATCTGGCTCATGTGTCAGGCGATCCGTATGCCTGGTTGGATTACCGCTTCCACTTTGCAACAGTCGACGCTGTGAAGCATTTTTCGTCTTTCCACAGACGAAAACTCGCCAGCTTTCCGGTTATGATCGTAACAGTGATTAGGCGGCTTGTGCTGACGCTGCTACTCGCACTAACGTGAGAATCGACCGTTCTCACGCCAGCGCAAAAACCCCTTCCCCAATGACCGCATTTTGTAGTCTCTGTCGTGTCCGTTTAGGCTGCCAACAACTTGGCGGTGTGCTCCCTTTACCTGGGCCAACTCGAGGAGGGCATATCCCTGCTGGAGTTGCTGACGACACCGAAGCCCCCAGTGTTGGGCAGCCCTCAGCCTACGCCTCCTCTCCTCCCGCTGCACGACTCCATCGTCTCGAATCTGGCGGTGCTCTACGAAGTGGAATCGGACAGGGCCGCGTCGCGGAAGCTGCACCTCCTCGAGCGACTGGCCTCGGTGCCCGGCGAGAGGCTTCACGCGAGGGCATTCAAGCTGCCCCTGACCTAGCATCCTCTACTCGAACAAGTGCTGAATGACCTTCTTGTTTCTTGCCAACCTCATGTATGCTTTTACTTTTATCACGAGTCCAGGAAGTTCGTGGGTGATCCCAAATGACTCTAAAGAATTAGTCTCTGTTTTGGCTTGGGAGGCTGCGTCAATTGAGTTGATAATTTAAGACGGTAGGCGGCGAATGGCTCTGCCCTGTGTTCAGGTAAACTCCACACCACGTTCCGCTGGAGTTAGGTTCATTCTGGTTGCAGCAAAGGCGTCAAGTGTTGGCGAGTACCATCATCAGGGAAGTAGCAGCGATGAATTATAAAACTGTGATAAAAGGCAATAAAATTCGACACTAGTTGTTTGCCCACACTTTTTTGTCCTATTCCTACAGTCAACAGATGGTAAATGCCGTAATTTTATACCAAACCATCGGCCCAGTCCGCTTCTTTTAATGCAGTTTTTTTGTCGGGGAAAAACGTCGGGTTTGTAAAAGCGCACGTCTATTGGTTTATTGCAAAAGGTGTAAAATGGTGTAAGATTTGAGGGAGGGGGGAGGTGGGAATTGGAGACCGTGAAAATCTGGACGAAAGGCCGTGCTAAACAGGCACACCACAGAGTACCTGCGATCGCCTCTCGTAGTAAACATTTGTCAGAATCTCCAGCGGTTCATCACAGTCGAATACCTAGGAGGAGGAAGAGGAGGAGGAGGATGAGAAACACGTCGAATACACTCAGAATGATGGAGAAGGAGCACGTCTGGTGCCTTCACAGACGCGATTTTAATCGTGGAAATGCAGTGCAAATCAAAGTCGGATAATCCGACGCAACGTCTGCCAGGAAAACACGTGTTGGCAAGTACGCGAGTTATTCTACGCGCGCCAACCACACGCCATTTGAAGGACACGCGCATTTGCGCTCGAGAGATGGGTACTTCCATGTGGCGATTAGCGGTTCAAGCGACAAGCACCACGTCTTCAAAGAGTGCATCACCGTCAATATTTACCAAACTGAGAAGCCTGCGCTTCCGGCAGACGCCGATTCGGGTGTTATTATAGCACTTGGTGAACATCTAAGTTAGTGAGAGACTTGCTAGAGGTAACTAGGCGCGGAGGCCTGCAGAACTTCCAAAAACTCACCAACACGGGGGCTTCCACGGGCTCCGATTTGCCACGCAGCAACCAGTCTTCATGGAGGTCATGCAGTTGATGTAGGTAGTCCTGCAAATAAATAAGCCATCGCGTTTTACCCAAGAGGGCACCAACCCCCTATCTCCACTGGCAGCGTAAGTTGAATCCTTCCAAAACCCGCAATTGCATCAACATAGGGACCTTTTCGGCTAGGGTTAGTGGGTACACTGTATTCGTAAATAAAACTAAAATTCGCCTTTTTTAAAAACCTGTTATTTAAACCACAAAATGCAGCAGTTAAGCACGCTGTTTTTACAATGCTTTGATACATTACTAAATGAAGTGGAGGGGGCGTATGACTTGCCAGATTTACGGCAGCCATGCAAGACGAGAAAAGAACGGAAAAAAGGCATTATTTGTCCTCGTCCAAATAAACATTTCGACCCTCTCACAATGTGTGCCTATCATCTTCTCCAAAACAACGCCGATTCCTAATCACACAGATGTTTGATCTCACGCTTCGCTAAATTCACTCGTGACTGCGATGCGAAAGAGCAACGCTGACGTCACACCAAGGCCTGCATGGATTTCGAGGTCAACCAGCGCCAGCCAACAAAGCCAGAGTCGCATTTAAGCGCGTCTTCACCCGCATGCTGGCCTCAGGCCACGATTTTCGGTTGTAACGATTAACATTGCGCCTTAGAATAAAGTAATTTTGCCAGAAAACAAGATTAAAAAGGCAGAAAGGCGGTCGAAGCAACCCACCATGGAGATGCTGCTTTCGCCCTTGCGGTCGCGTTTGCGGATCCTCTCGGCACAGACTTCGGGAGAACACCGGAGGTAAACTAAGAAAACGACAAGCTACAGGTTACTAACTTGAACACGGATTGCGTTCATTTTCCTTGGGCACTGACTAATTACTTATTAGGGTTTGTTGAAGCACAAAATTGAATTGACTGTTGTTAAATTTGCAAATTGAACGTCGTTCCTCCTGATAAATATGACGCTGAAGGTTATGTAAACAAGTAGTGATTGGGTTCTAACAGTTGCATTACTATAAACATGAATGAAGACAAGGTCACACGTAGGCACTGAAGCATGAAGTCATAGTGACGTAATCGGCCGAGCCAATCAGAAGGGAGATTGCACGTAAACGTACCAATGAGATCCAACTTGCAGCAGGGCAACTTCTTGCCCCATTCGTAGTACTTGTCAACAACGGCTAAGTCTCCATCGGACATTTGCTTGCTAGAATTTGACAAATATAAATATTTTAATCAGGCCTAAATATGCACAAAAATACCAGACTACCTCAACATCAACTTCTAATAAGCAAAGGAAATGAATACGAAAATTTGTGGAAAAGGCATGAGAGGACGTTCGGTCAGATTTTGCTTTAGTTAAGGAGCGAAATAAATTCATGCAAATATCCTTAATTGCAGTTGTGTTACACAAGTTGTAACTAAAAAAAGCAGTAGTTTAGGCACCAAAAATTGCTAGTTGAACACTGCGACCTGGCATGTGATTCGAGCAAAAAGGATCGATCAAAAAAGCTATGAAAACCGCCAGATTCTGGGACCTACAAAGTACTTAGCATGAGACATTCACATGTTTGAAGGTCGTACGCGATTTGAGCAAGCCAAATGAACCGGGTTAAATTCAGTCTTGGTGTGTGAGACTTCGAGATAGAATCCACATTAGAGCACTTTGCTTTGCTCATCCTCTCTTTAAAAAGGCGTTTGAAACAAAGTCAGATGAACAGTAGGCCAGAATATTTATAAAATATTCTGTACAAACGTGGGCTATGGCAGCTGGCAGTGAGCCTCCACTAATCGGATTTGTGCAATCCTAGAGTAATTAGTCTTATGAGGCGGATAAAACATAGAACGTTAGGTGGCTAACAGCTGTTCGACAGTCATTACTTGTACAGAAAACTATTAGTCCTTTTCAAACAAATTTCACGAATCGACTGCTTTCCATTCAGGCGAACATGAGCATTTAGATCCATATTTAAAGAACCAAGCATTTGGAAGACTGTTTACCATTTCAGACTCATCAGAGCAATTATTGTCAAACAAGGAACTTGATATTAACCATAGCGCGGTTATACTATGTGATTCTCTGAATTTAAACCCCACTAAATATCTAGGAAATACTCAAACGAAAAAGTACAGAGATGCAATTGATAAAAGTAAATAAGACTATCTGTGCACACAGGTCGGTTGATATGAAAAAATAAGAGACAATCGTGAGTCCTTAATTCTGTTGAAATTACCAACATTACAGCGAAAAAATCTCACTTTCTATTCATAGCCTCAATAAAGCAAAGGCGACTGCTGTTTACGGAACGTTCTAAAATTCGTACAGGAGCAGTCTAAAAATAGAAATTGTGTACGGAAAAAACGTGAGAGAATTTATATATATTTGATCTACTGACGAATTACCTGCTGTTCCGCCTGTCGGTTTAGTAAAGTGACCATAACCTGACTCTGGAATGGTGTACTCCATTTTGTTGGGTTTCCATAAAAGACTTCCTACTCAAATTTATGTCAAACCTAGTTTCTAGCGACTTACGAATAATTTATATCCCTTCACGTCATTCCATTTTTCAATCGGTTCAGGTGAGATCTGGATTTTGGGGGAAATGCCCTCAAAATACCGTAAAAATGTTGACTTTCCACATCCAATGTTGCCCTCAACGGCTACCTTAACAGTTCTGCGGCAACCAGACTTAAATGCAAGCCGTTCGTTACCTGTTTTCCTCCATCCAACAAGTGCATGAACAATAATGAATTAAACCGCGCGCTGATCTCCTCCTCGTTCTAATTGCCGATCCTCAAGGCCACAAGCGAGGTCCCTGACCTGATAAAATTGGAGCATCCATTGTTTTATTCAGAGCTGAAATTAACATTCTTCACTAAACAATTTTACAACCTCTGAATCCATTTAGATCGATAAGTGGGAAGAAATATGGGAATGTATTTTCTTCGTTGCTAAAGGTATAAAAATCCTCAAATTGTTTCGTCACGACATATATCACTGAGATCAGCTTCATTAATTTGCTGATTTTGTTCCCGACTTTTTTTTAATTTGCAAGGATGTAAAAGTCAACACGTGTATCTTTGCCGTTTTTGGTTGTTGTTTTTATTTAAAGCATATTTAAATTTTGTGATTCATGGATAAATGTGTATCGAACCCTCCACTTAATCACAGTGCCGATTCACTCTTTTGGTTATCAAACTTGGTTGTCGTATTTCCACATTTTTATCATTACAACAAACCCTAAACGGTTAATGACTGCCGGATTTACAAACAGGCATTGTATTCACGGATACACTATTTTGCAATATTTTGAAATTTTTAATTGCATGAATTCCTATTGAAACCTTGGTTGGGTTGCCTTGTTGAAAAGAGGATAAGCTAGGTATGTATATTCTATTCGTCGATTGATACGCGCATTTTTGTATAAAGGAACCAAACTTACTGTCCATGACTTACAAATTTGACCGCAGCCATATTGCTTTAAATTAGAATCTCAGCCAATCCTCTGCCTGCATTTTAGTAGTGCACTGGGGTAATCAGAAGGCGAAATGACTGAATGTTTGGATAAATTTTTATGTTTGCTCGGGCGATTTGGAAAGAAAGAACAAAGCATCAATTTCAAGCAGAATACTCTTCTGCAATTTTTATGAATACTTACTACCCAAGTTGCCAAGTAAGGAAGGCACAGTACAATTAATCCTTTTCAAAAAACATAACTGAAATATGTATTGCTAATTACCTTACCAAGTGGAACCACAGTTCTTTAAATACGTACATTATAATTGCCTAACCCCCAAAATTTCCCCTTTTTAATAAAATGTTTCTTGTATTACAAATATTTAGTAAAGAGTAGAGCCACTGATTATTGTTAACATTAATCAATGAAAAATGAAGTGCTTATACCAGAGAAACGAGTTTTATTTTTTAACACGACCTCTGTGAATGTACCAGATCGGCGAACTACTTACTTTTAAACTCACTGGCAGCACGCTAATAATCTGCGATCGTTTAGACTAAATTGGCGGTTTAAAAAACAGCAGAATCATAAATGAAAAATTCAGCTTTAACAACAGAAAGCTTGCTAGCTCATACAGGTCACAGAATGTTTTTTAAACAATTGTGACTATCTGAAAAGTGCAGCAGCAATTGAGCTTCAAATTCAAATTAACGATGACCCTATTCACTGACACATCATACAGAGTCTGCAACAGGCAACAAAATTCTTTGATGGCATTGTGATCCACATCGATTCTCCTGAAAGGACACCTATGGTATTTTTTACATTACAGAACAAATTATTTCAACCAGAAGTGGTTAGAAACTTCACGTAAACCAAGAGGATTCTATAAATGCGGAACCTTTGTTTACTTCTTGATATCCACCACAAATATTTAGCTGAATTTGGTCGGCCTTTGCTCAAAATAATGACTCTTTTGAACAAAAATAGCGTTAAAATTTCACTCCCACTCCCACGGTGCATCTCACTTGCTCAACCAGATCAAATCACAATCGAGATTCTGTCCTCTTATACAGTATAATGCACTTTCATCCCTGTTTTTGAAATATAGATACCTGTTTTTCGTTGCTTCTTGATTTAATGGTTCCCCTTTCAGGAAGTCACCACACGCTTTTGGCTAAATATTTCATCACTGGATGACAAAATGCATTTTTTCAACTTTGACAGGTGATGTCTTGTTCATTACGGATTTTCAACTCGATTTCGTTCCTGCAAATTTGCTTAAAACAAACAGCGATAATGTTTTACAGTGAAACCAGTTCAATGGCCGGGATGAAATTCGATCCATGCAGTTGCACTTCAAACGGAACAAAATGCTTTATTTTCTGATTTGGATATGTGAATTATTATGCAAACAGGACCACTGGATTGGTCGTACGGTCACTAGGTTTGTTTTACGTGAATCCAACCTAGTGACCGCGCCTGAGTGAACCTTGATTACTGACCTGACGGTGGCAGTGACTCATCCCCTTTGCATTGGTTACTGTTATCAGACGCCTATCATTCGCTCACTCATTCACACACTAAGACGTACCTGGCTGGCGTGAAGCTAATAAACGGTTGTGTCCTCTGTCGCCTCTCTTCACTCCATTCTGGGGTTGTTACAGGCTGTTAACTAGAGGATTGTAAGGTAGTGCTAAAACTAAGCCACTACAGTACTATGTTGACAAATCACGTTTTAGTCATCAGAATGACAAGAAAAGTAATGTGGTGATTTGAAAACGATAAAAACAATTTTGCCTACTACTAAACCCGAGATACTAAACAACTTTTCTTCACCAGGAAGGCATGTTGGACGTTCGACGGTGAAGTGCAGCCAAGTGTGGCATTGCATCGGAAGGGTGCGTGCTGCCGAATGTGGTCACGGAGCACGCACGTGACACCGCGGCGGTGTTTGAGTTGTCGACGGATATCCGGTCATTCCACATTGACGTCACATGTCTGTGTGTGCAGCTCAAAAGTGTGATTTGCTCTGCTCATAATTAACATCTTTCAGCAAGCCTTGTCGTCGCCTGTAAATTGCACTAGGTCATGGCGTTTCTAAGCCAACACAGCGAATTCACCGCTGGCAGTTTTGAATAATTGAAGCCACAAGAAAACTGACAGACTCAATCTGCATTCCTAAGTGATTCTCGCATAAAAATAATTAACTCTCAACTGCGTTGCTTCTCACAAGCATCCGATTAACAGCTTACATCATTTGTGTTGTGGCGGTAAAATTTCTTGTATAAGCTGCAGGAGTTAGGGTAAAACATTGATTCTAGTCGTGAGAACTTTCTTAATCGATTTCTCACTGTTAGCTGTTGTTTGTTGACCACTGATCTCATATCTCTATTTAAGATTGATGTGGACACCCTTATCGATCGTCTCATCTCAGTTTAACCTCAGGTGCACGCTAATACGCATCAGGCAGGTCTAGACGGTGAAGTCTGCAACTGCACAAAATGCCTGCTGATGAAACGCAATTTCACCACTAGTGCAGATCCACGTTAGTTGACAGTTGGCAGAGATTGCCTTGTTGGTGTGAAGTAGCAAGCCAACCACGAAAGAGCTTTGACAAATTACGATGCAATAAGCAAACTGATTGAAACAACTAGGCACCAGCAACCCTAACTAAGTCAAAATTTTTAAACCAACATTTATATAAGCTTCTTTTTGGATGTTTTAAGTAATTTCTTACTGCTGACTACCGTACCACCACCGCGTCGACGCAATATTGATTTCATTTGAAGCGTTTTCATGACTGTCTGATTCGATGTAGCCTCACATGACCGCAAATGGTTTTACGTCCGGTAATTCGTTCCACTTAATTTTACGCTTAATTGCCTTGTAAACCCAAGAGCCGCCTTCACGCCGTGGTTCGTTAAATTGATCAATTTATTGACCAACCAAAACTTGGTGGGTCGATGACGTCATTATGACGCTGTCCCCACTTATTGGCGAAGACGATCAAAAGGGTCTGCGTTAGCGGTCAGAACGTTGGTTGTTTCCGTAACAAACCCAGGTTAAATTTTGCGATTAGATTAACCTGCTGACTATATTTTAAATAGCCCTTAGAGGCCATCGGGAACGTCCAAAATTATCTGTCCGCTCAATAAGAGAAGGCAATTTACTTTGAAGCAGGTTGCAATCGGCAACGAAGATTGATTATTTGGATCAAAGGAACGTGACTGGGACACTGAATTGACCATGGTAAACTGAAAACATTTTGATCGAGGTCAAACAACTCCAATTTACCCGATATATGTTTGAATTTCAGAGCAAAAGTGGCCTGAAATCTTTTATTTGGTGAATATATTGCTGCTGTTCTCCGAAATACGCTTAATTTCGCTCTCCTTATAAAGGAAAAAACCTTAATTGACTCATCCTCTTTCGAATCCAGGACACTGCCAACTAATCATCTCTGAATCGCCTAATTTATGGTGATATACACTGTCAATTCACGAATACGAATAGCAAAACCAGTGATTCTACTCTAGCCTAGGCCCACTACGTCATGGTCATGAATCATGCCCCCATAACCTTAAGAGAGCATTTCACTGCCCTAATTTGGGCCGGTTTTGATCTACTAGCTAGGTAGAGGTTATCACGTCTAAAAGCCATTAAAATGCATAGTTACAATCCCATCGTCAGAATCGAGTATTTTGTACTCGCAAAATCCATTTCAACCGAGTTATCGAAAGCCCCTGGCGATGTCCGTTTCCCCATAATTGGCACCGGCCAAATTCACGTAATCTCAAATTCCAGCCCTCTTCTGAGCAGCACCGCAATTCCTGTGTTGGAGGATGCCAACGTTCACCAAGACAACTAAATTAAAACAGTAATTTGTGACGTGATTCCAAATCTGCCCTCGCGCTACATTGTTGTCCACACTAGCAAC